ATGGCCTTTCGAAAAAAGCGCCTAAAAATTTCGAAAATGCCCTCCGGAAAAATTCGATCAAATTTCCTACCAAATCGGCCATTGCTAGACTTCATAGTTGGTGGAGAGTACCCTAAGGCCGAATCTGTGAACCATCGCATTCAAAATCCAAGGAAAATGGACTTTCCATTAAATCGCCCGAAATCGGTGATGGTACCCCTTTGGAAACTGGCAAAAATTGCCCCGTAAATTTTCCGCCCGAAACCCTGTTTAATAGACTTATTCATCCCTAAAGAATAGCCTCAGGCTGAATCCGTGATCTGCACCCTTCAAACCGAGGGAAAATGGCCTTTCGAAAAAAGCGCCTAAAAATTTCGAAAATGCCCTCCGGAAAAATTCGACCAAATTTCCTACCAAATCGGCCATTGCTAGACTTCATCGTTGGTGGAGAGTACCCTAAGGCCGAATCTGTGAACCATCGCATTCAAAATCCAAGGAAAATGGACTTTCCATTAAATCGCCCGAAATCGGTGATGGTACCCCTTTGGAAACTGGCAAAAATTGCCCCGTAAATTTTCCGCCCGAAACCCTGTTTAATAGACTTATTCATCCCTAAAGAATAGCGTCAGGCTGAATCCGTGATCTGCACCCTTCAAAACCGAGGGAAAATGGCCTTTCGAAAAAAGCGCCTAAAAATTTCGAAAATGCCCTCCGGAAAAATTCGACCAAATTTCCTACCAAATCGGCCATTGCTAGACTTCATCGTTGGTGGAGAGTACCCTAAGGCCGAATCTGTGAACCATCGCATTCAAAATCCAAGGAAAAAGGACTTTCCATTAAATCGCCCGAAATCGGTGATGGTACCCCTTTGGAAACTGGCAAAAATTGCCCCGTAAATTTTCCGCCCGAAACCCTGTTTAATAGACTTATTCATCCCTAAAGAATAGCCTCAGGCTGAATCCGTGATCTGCACCCTTCAAAACCGAGGGAAAGTGGCCTTTCGAAAAAAGCGCCTAAAAATTACGAAAATGCCCTCCGGAAAAATTCGACCAAATTTCCTACCAAATCGGCCATTGCTAGACTTCATCGTTGGTGGAGAGTACCCTAAGGCCGAATCTGTGAAGCATCGCATTCAAAATCCAAGGAAAAAGGACTTTCCATTAAATCGCCCGAAATCGGTGATGGTACCCCTTTGGAAACTGGCAAAAATTGCCCCATAAATTTTCCGCCCGAAACCCTGTTTAATAGACTTATTCATCCCTAAAGAATAACCTCAGGATGAATCCGTGATCTGCACCCTTCAAACCGAGGGAAAATGGCCTTTCGAAAAAAGCGCCTAAAAATTTCGAAAATGCCCTCCGGAAAAATTCGACCAAATTTCCTACCAAATCGGCCATTGCTAGACTTCATCGTTGGTGGAGAGTACCCTAAGGCCGAATCTGTGAACCATCGCATTCAAAATCCAAGGAAAAAGGACTTTCCATTAAATCGCCCGAAATCGGTGATGGTACCCCTTTGGAAACTGGCAAAAATTGCCCCGTAAATTTTCCGCCCGAAACCCTGTTTAATAGACTTATTCATCCCTAAAGAATAGCCTCAGGCTGAATCCGTGATCTGCACCCTTCAAAACCGAGGGAAAATGGCCTTTCGAAAAAAGCGCCTAAAAATTACGAAAATGCCCTCCGGAAAAATTCGATCAAATTTCCTACCAAATCGGCCATTGCTAGACTTCATCGTTGGTGGAGAGTACCCTAAGGCCGAATCTGTGAACCATCGCATTCAAAATCCAAGGAAAATGGACTTTCCATTAAATCGCCCGAAATCGGTGATGGTACCCCTTTGGAAACTGGCAAAAATTGCCCCGTAAATTTTCCGCCCGAAACCCTGTTTAATAGACTTATTCATCCCTAAAGAATAGCCTCAGACTGAATCCGTGATCTGCACCCTTCAAACCGAGGGAAAATGGCCTTTCGAAAAAAGCGCCTAAAAATTTCGAAAATGCCCTCCGGAAAAATTCGACAAAATTTCCTACCAAATCGGCCATTGCTAGACTTCATCGTTGGTGGAGAGTACCCAAAGGCCGAATCTGTGAACCATCGCATTCAAAATCCAAGGAAAAAGGACTTTCCATTAAATGGCCCGAAATCGGTGATGGTACCCCTTTGGAAACTGGCAAAAATTGCCCAGTAAATTTTCCGCCCGAAACCCTGTTTAATAGACTTATTCATCCCTAAAGAATAGCCTCAGGCTGAATCCGTGATCTGCACCCTTCAAAACCGAGGGAAAGTGGCCTTTCGAAAAAAGCGCCTAAAAATTACGAAAATGCCCTCCGGAAAAATTCGACCAAATTTCCTACCAAATCGGCCATTGCTAGACTTCATCGTTGGTGGAGAGTACCCTAAGGCCGAATCTGTGAACCATCGCATTCAAAATCCAAGGAAAAAGGACTTTCCATTAAATCGCCCGAAATCGGTGATGGTACCCCTTTGGAAACTGGCAAAAATTGCCCCGTAAATTTTCCGCCCGAAACCCTGTTTAATAGACTTATTCATCCCTAAAGAATAGCCTCAGGCTGAATCCGTGATCTGCACCCTTCAAAACCGAGGGAAAATGGCCTTTCGAAAAAAGCGCCTAAAAATTACGAAAATGCCCTCCGGAAAAATTCGATCAAATTTCCTACCAAATCGGCCATTGCTAGACTTCATAGTTGGTGGAGAGTACCCTAAGGCCGAATCTGTGAACCATCGCATTCAAAATCCAAGGAAAATGGACTTTCCATTAAATCGCCCGAAATCGGTGATGGTACCCCTTTGGAAACTGGCAAAAATTGCCCCGTAAATTTTCCGCCCGAAACCCTGTTTAATAGACTTATTCATCCCTAAAGAATAGCCTCAGGCTGAATCCGTGATCTGCACCCTTCAAACCGAGGGAAAATGGCCTTTCGAAAAAAGCGCCTAAAAATTTCGAAAATGCCCTCCGGAAAAATTCGACCAAATTTCCTACCAAATCGGCCATTGCTAGACTTCATCGTTGGTGGAGAGTACCCTAAGGCCGAATCTGTGAACCATCGCATTCAAAATCCAAGGAAAATGGACTTTCCATTAAATCGCCCGAAATCGGTGATGGTACCCCTTTGGAAACTGGCAAAAATTGCCCCGTAAATTTTCCGCCCGAAACCCTGTTTAATAGACTTATTCATCCCTAAAGAATAGCGTCAGGCTGAATCCGTGATCTGCACCCTTCAAAACCGAGGGAAAATGGCCTTTCGAAAAAAGCGCCTAAAAATTTCGAAAATGCCCTCCGGAAAAATTCGACCAAATTTCCTACCAAATCGGCCATTGCTAGACTTCATCGTTGGTGGAGAGTACCCTAAGGCCGAATCTGTGAACCATCGCATTCAAAATCCAAGGAAAAAGGACTTTCCATTAAATCGCCCGAAATCGGTGATGGTACCCCTTTGGAAACTGGCAAAAATTGCCCCGTAAATTTTCCGCCCGAAACCCTGTTTAATAGACTTATTCATCCCTAAAGAATAGCCTCAGGCTGAATCCGTGATCTGCACCCTTCAAACCGAGGGAAAATGGCCTTTCGAAAAAAGCGCCTAAAAATTTCGAAAATGCCCTCCGGAAAAATTCGACCAAATTTCCTACCAAATCGGCCATTGCTAGACTTCATCGTTGGTGGAGAGTACCCTAAGGCCGAATCTGTGAACCATCGCATTCAAAATCCAAGGAAAATGGACTTTCCATTAAATCGCCCGAAATCGGTGATGGTACCCCTTTGGAAACTGGCAAAAATTGCCCCGTAAATTTTCCGCCCGAAACCCTGTTTAATAGACTTATTCATCCCTAAAGAATAGCGTCAGGCTGAATCCGTGATCTGCACCCTTCAAAACCGAGGGAAAATGGCCTTTCGAAAAAAGCGCCTAAAAATTTCGAAAATGCCCTCCGGAAAAATTCGACCAAATTTCCTACCAAATCGGCCATTGCTAGACTTCATCGTTGGTGGAGAGTACCCTAAGGCCGAATCTGTGAACCATCGCATTCAAAATCCAAGGAAAAAGGACTTTCCATTAAATCGCCCGAAATCGGTGATGGTACCCCTTTGGAAACTGGCAAAAATTGCCCCGTAAATTTTCCGCCCGAAACCCTGTTTAATAGACTTATTCATCCCTAAAGAATAGCGTCAGGCTGAATCCGTGATCTGCACCCTTCAAAACCGAGGGAAAATGGCCTTTCGAAAAAAGCGCCTAAAAATTACGAAAATGCCCTCCGGAAAAATTCGATCAAATTTCCTACCAAATCGGCCATTGCTAGACTTCATAGTTGGTGGAGAGTACCCTAAGGCCGAATCTGTGAACCATCGCATTCAAAATCCAAGGAAAATGGACTTTCCATTAAATCGCCCGAAATCGGTGATGGTACCCCTTTGGAAACTGGCAAAAATTGCCCCGTAAATTTTCCGCCCGAAACCCTGTTTAATAGACTTATTCATCCCTAAAGAATAGCCTCAGGCTGAATCCGTGATCTGCACCCTTCAAACCGAGGGAAAATGGCCTTTCGAAAAAAGCGCCTAAAAATTTCGAAAATGCCCTCCGGAAAAATTCGACCAAATTTCCTACCAAATCGGCCATTGCTAGACTTCATCGTTGGTGGAGAGTACCCTAAGGCCGAATCTGTGAACCATCGCATTCAAAATCCAAGGAAAAAGGACTTTCCATTAAATCGCCCGAAATCGGTGATGGTACCCCTTTGGAAACTGGCAAAAATTGCCCCGTAAATTTTCCGCCCGAAACCCTGTTTAATAGACTTATTCATCCCTAAAGAATAGCGTCAAGCTGAATCCGTGATCTGCACCCTTCAAAACCGAGGGAAAATGGCCTTTCGAAAAATTTTCTTACTTTTAATTACATTTTGGTATCTAGAACTTTTAAAAACACCACAAACAATATTAATTCAATTTTCCATTCCCTCTTCTGTTCGATTCTATACATTGCAAATTTCATTTGAAGTGCCTATCGACAATTACTACTCGCTGACTCTGCCGCCCGCAGCCTTCCTAGCCGGCGTTATCAATGCAAGCCGCAGGTGGAGGTGGAGGGAACAACACAGGCAAAATTGCTGGAATCGTTGGCGCCATAGTTGGTGTAACAGTAGCCGTGGTGGGGATCTGGTACTGTTCATGCTTCCGCAGGAAGAAGGGAAGGTCTGCTGGAGGAGAAACCAGCTAAGAAATACTGCTACCCGATTACGATGGCTCCAATCACAATGCCGCAATTGGAATCGAAGTTCCAGGCCATGAGAACGACAGGGTAGTCCACTGTTACAGTCCGGCTACTGTTCTGGCAGCCACAAACAACTTCTCCAATGGCAATAAGCTTGGACAGTGAGGCTTTGGCCCTGTTTACAAGGTCAGTACTTAATCAAGCCTCTCTCAATGATCACTAGTAATTTGGTATAAAGAATGATGGTACAAACGACCCATTTTAAAAAGTCTTTCGATTACTCGAGTTATTGGAAAGAGCTAGCCACTTCGACTATTGTGACGAGCTGAGCTAGCTCTCCGATGTGGTGATGCAGGGGAAGCTGCAAGACGGGCAAGAAATAGCGGTGAAGAGGCTTTCCTTGATATCCAAGCAAGGTCTGGAAGAGTTCAGGAACGAGGTGATGGTGATTGTCAAGCTTCAGCACAGGAATCTGGTGAGGCTGTTGGGTTGTTGCTTGGAGAGAGGGGAGAAGCTGCTTGTCTATGAGTATTTGGCCAACACCAGCCTTGACGCCTTCCTTTTCGGTTTGCACCCTTCCTAGGTTCTTGATTCATCGTTCTTACCTGCTTTAAATGACCTACAGACTTACAGTACTTGTCATAAACATCGTAATTTATGCAACAGATCCGAAGAAAAGCAAGGAGCTCGACTGGGAAAAGCGAGCAAACATAGTAGAAGGCACAGCCAGGGGACTCATGTACCTCCACGAGGACTCTCGTCTTAAGAACATCCATAGAGATATGAAAGCGAGCAATGTGCTTCTGGACGATCAGATGAATCCCAAGATCTCGGATTTCGGGACCGCTAGGATATTCGGAGGCAATCAGATCGAGGCCAACACTGAGCGAGTTGTTGGAACATAGTAAGTTGATAGACGAATTCATAGAGTTTGTAATGGCCGCAAACTATTGACTTGAAATGATGAATTGTACTTGTTTTGAACAGTGGGTACATGGCTCCTGAGTACGCTCTAGAGGGAGTGATTTCGACGAAATCAGATGTCTGTTGGACGAAATCAGCGTTGCGATTGCACAATCAGTGTTGCTAAAAACAGAAAATGAAAAGAATAAGGAAGGTATTAGCTCAGCCAAAATCCATTTTGAATCTCCTTACCTTATGAAGAAGTGCAGCAACGGTCAAAAGCTTTATATATATATATATATATATATATATATATATATATATATATATATATATATATATATATATATATATATATATATATATATATCTGTGGTTCTTACTAATGGGAATAACTTTTGTAAAAAAAAAGCGGTACAGGGCTTGGGGAATTACAAAAGGGTTTGACAATCAGGGGAATAGGTTCTGATTGTTCAAAGGTGTATCGGGTCTGGTTGGGATCCGGGAATTGGTTACTTTGCTATCTCTTTACAACATTTTGTCCTTGTTTCGGTTTATGTTTGATAGGAGAAAACGTAATAAAAAGAGTCTCCTAGAAATCAGTGGGTACTGATTCTAGGACGAGGAGTGACCAGTAGTTTGGGAACCTCGTTAAAATCGTCTGTGTCCATTTAATCTTCCGCCTGTGTTCTTTCGTTTTAAGCTTTACTGCTCTGTTTCTTTTTGTTTTCCTTTCCCCTGTTTCTAGTTAGCAGCCCTGTTCTTGCTAGTCTTCTATCCAAGGAAGAAGACGAGTCCTTGACTCAGAAGCAGCATGCTTTACGTTAGTGGGCCAGAGTTTGTTTAGATAATAAGTTGGTTTAATTGTATTTTGGGCTTTGTGATAATTGGGCCCAAATTGTGAAATCTAGAGAACGAGATTGGAAAGGAGATCAGATCAACACCATCTCTCATTTCCATTCGTCTTCCTCCATTTCCGATTTTCCCCAAATCAGCGCAAAAGCCTAATTCAAACTAACTCTATTTCTGTTTCTCAATGTCTACAGCTTTGGAATCTTGATGCTGGAAATCATAAGTGGAAAGAAGAACAGAGGATCGTTCGACCCGAGTCAGGCCTCTAGCCTTCTTTTGCAGGTAATTACCAATCAAACTTAATTACCAATGCCCAAATATTGGCCCTAAAATTCGAATCCTGAACATGTGGTGCCACAACTTGATTTCAGGCATGGGAGCTAAGAACTGCCCGGCGAGATGGATCCATATTGCATTGTTGTGCACGCAGGACGATCCGGCTGAACGGCCGACCATGTCCGCTGTGGTCCGAATGCTCGGAAGCAAATCCGATGACGAGCTTCCACGGCAGTTGAAACGTCCTTTCACCGCCGGCGGGTTCACCCACGTTTCCGATCTATCTTCCAGTACCTCCGGTACCGGCACCGGGTTCCTGACGTCGGATCAATCCACCTGTACTAGCTAGCGGCGTTTCTCGGTAGTCTCGTTTTTTTAGGTACATAAATTGGTCTTGGTCTGAATAGGAAAAAATGGTTGAGTTAGGATTGTAATTTTGACATCTCCGGCTGAGCTACTTGTTTCTAACCTATTTCATTCTCAATTTATTCTATTTAGAACTCGTTACTTTAACATTCATGTCGGTTATATGTCAAACTTCTTGATAATTTCTTTTAATGAAACAGCTTAGTCTGCATATCTCCGTTGCGAAAATCATCGTTAATGTAGCCACAAAGATTAATGCTTTCCAGATATGTGTCATGTAGAGAAAGTCTGACATGATTGGTTATATACATGATCAAAAAGGGCATGGTTGTGTGATTTCGTCTAGATGAGTGCCACACATTAAAATTATGACGATCAAGACAACAATAATTGTCCTTGCACGTCTTACATTACCATTTTTATATGTATACAGAAGCATTTTGTTGATTTCTTTTCAAAATTCAAGACCAATTCATAGTTTTTTACTACTTGCTTTCTTCGAGAATTCCATGCGAGAATATCGTCATTAATCCACAAATAACTTTTTTAAGGCTAAGTTACAAAGAATAAATGACAAAGATTGTCGAAACCCAATTTCTATATTCATAAAATTCACCCAAACTCGTAGAATTCTAAATATACAGCGTTCAATATGTAGAGTAATGTTCCACCTCACACATAAAATTCACCCAAACCTCACACCTATCTGTTGGCCCAAACTACAATCCCCTCAGGCCCTCACCTAAGTCCTATGTAGAGTAATGTTCCACCTCACCAGAAAATGTCAAATGCAAACCTCTCAATCTGAATGTACAAAGAGAAAATCGAACATACGCAAAATGCAGAGCTCATGAAATATGCTTGGAAAATGGGTTAATTGCATGGTTGGTTACTGAGATTACAAAAAACGTTTAAGTTTGGTCACTCGAAATATTTAAATCCATTGGTGGTACTTCAGTTTACTAAAACCGTTCACGTTTGGTCACTCTCCGTTCAACTCAGTTAACTTTTGCTTATGTGGCAGTCAACTCTAAAAGTTGAACGTTAAATGTGTGTCGTGGAAATTAAAAAAATAATTAAATAAATAAAACTTATTTTTTTAAAATTTCCACCTCATTTCTAAATATTTTAAAAAATATATTTGTGAAAATATATTTTTTTATAGCCAATTATCGTTGCGGTGATTAATTAAAACCCCCACAATCACCTACAAACCCCTCAATCACCCCCACAAAAGTGGAAAAAATCCCACTGTACACATGTTCTTAAAAAAATTCCCAAAATACATAAGTTATAAAAAAAATTCCCAAAATACACATGTTTGGCATTCACCGTTTTTGACAAACGCAGTGAATATAATCACCGTCTTTGTCAAACACGGTGAATAATTCACCGTTAAAAAAAATGGTGACGTATTCACCGTCTTCAACTAAAACGGTGAACAACCAGCGAGGCAATCACCGTTTTAGACGGACACAGTGAATCAATCCCCGTTTTAATTAAAAGCGGTGACATTTAAACTGCAGTGATTGGCCACGATGAAGCGAAGCGGATCGCTGACGTGGACAAACGCGGTGTATTCACCGCGTTAAACAAACACGGTGAATACCCCGTGTTTGTTTGCGTCAGCGATCCGCGTCGCTTACGCGTTCACCGTGGCAGTCGGATGCGGTGAGGCGCGGATCGTGGTTTTCTTCCCAGATCCGACGCCTCACACTAAGCCACGTCGCTCGATCCGCGCCCTTTCACCGTCCTTGAGAAACGCGATCACTTCACCGTTTCTGAGGGAGGCGGTGAATGCTCCCCAGTTTTCTTCGCCTGATCCCTTCCCCCAACTATAAATAGACTCCCCCCCCCCCCCCCCACCACTTACAACTCACACCACAACCATTTCACTTCTTTCTCCCTCAATTTATCCGCTCTAGTCTCGTTCTAAGTATGCTCTGTGATTGCGGATAAATCCGGTAATACCACATCTATTGTCAATATCTAAGCATGATACTATACTCTAAGTAAGAAAATGCAATCTGGACCACGAATTAATCGAATTTGTGGGCATGATACTATACCCTAACCCTTGACGAGTGAACCCTAGGTCTTGTTATCTAAATCATATAGCTTAACCCCTAAGATTGTGCATGTAATTTGTTGCGTATATTTTGACGAATCATGAACGTTGATTTTTGTTTATAATTAAATTGATCTTAGAGTATGAGATTTATAAATTTAAGACTTAGATTTTAATCTTTAAGGGTTTGAGAATAATACCATATGCCAAACTCTAGTCAATTCAAGGTCTTTATATCATTTTTCTTACTCAAGGTATGTCATAATATACATATATATGTATAAATAGTTTAATGTATTTTAAGTGTATTTAACACCTTTGTTTGATCGAAAGAACCAATGTAAGAGAAAATAAGGTATGGACTTTGGAAGCATGCATTATAAGAGAGAGAAGAAAAGTTGTCTTTCTTTATTGTCTTCATTTCTACAATCAAGTACTATATTATGGCTTCGTCGAATTTCTATCAAAATGAAAAAACAACTTTTGGAGCATTTTGCTATTTAATAATTAATACTTGTTTTCATTGATAGATACAAACATTAGAAAAAAAGATAGTTTTGATAATCAAAACATAAAATTATATATTTGGTTTTTCAAATTCAATTGATTATTAAATATGGATTATCTAAACTTCCTTCATTATATTTTGTTTTCAAAAAAACATAATTACTTATATGTGTGTTTAATTTATTTTTATGAAAATATAACCTATATTAAGTTCTAATAAAAATAAAAAGAAAAATTAATTGATCAAATTTAATTAAATATATTTTTTAAAGGATTATAATATATGTCACTCTCCAAACATAAGTATACTGCTGCTACACATATATTGCAAAAAAACTATTATTGAATAACAAAAGAAAACATTAAAAAAAGATAGAGATAGCTAAATAAATTTTTGAATTGCCATAATATATAATATTATGTATAGATTTCAAAGTATTAAATTAAAATTGTATAAATCCCTAGCTAAAACCCATTCCACCTATTAAGGTTGAGCATGTGTGTGTGAGAAACCTAACGCGTGCTATGTGTTCTTAAGTGAAAAACGAAAATGGGTATTAATGATCATACCTAACCCTACAATTGGTCCCCCAGACTTTATTTATCTACGAATGTACTTAACGAAATTAAGATGTAACGAACAATAGAGTCAGCTACTAAGCAGTCACAGTCATATTTGGTTTCTCTACTAAAGTCAACAGATTAGATGAATATACATCTCTACTATTTTCAAATTCAATTTTAACAGATTATATCTTTTTATATTAATCTAGATTTCATTTATGAAAAAATAAATCAAATATTATCTACAATATAAAATTTTTATTTAAAAATGGCTAGCAATGAGCATCTTAGTATAAGTGGGACCTCAATGTCCTCATTAAAATCGAGGATAAAAACACGTCAATCAAGATGTTATACTTATATATGGTGATGTCAACACAAATTATATTACGTTGATACGAAAATATTCTATGGTCTTACTCAAAATATGTTATGGCAACCATGCCCATCTGTCATTTACTCAACCTAACCCAACCCGAAAAATAATATAATTGGATAATATATAACAATTATACAAATTCGCTAGTAAGCTTATGAGCCAACTTGATACCAAAATCCACCCAACTCGCCTATTGTACATCCCTATTTTTTATATCATCCCACCAACAATTTCAGGGTTCGTTTTGCATGAGTCATTTACAAAATGAACCATTTGATCAAATGTAGACATTTGCATATGTATTGTTTGTTTAACAGTTGTAGATGAGCCATTCACAAATGGGTCACTTGTATAATGTTAAAATTTTGCCCTTACATTTAATATTTCATTATCTTGTTTCCTATCCTCATAAAATCAACCACGCATAAGAAAATCACTTTGCAACCAACAAAACGTATGGTCATGATTCATGTATAATAGTTTCTAATTTTACATAATATTTTTATGTTAAGTTTCTTTGTAAAAGGCAACGACTCTTGAGATCTCATATTCATGTTAATTACGACTCATTGTTGAGGGCGGCAACTCCAATGACACGAGTAGTTAAAGTCACAAGAAAATGATGGATACTATAAGATGGATGGTCCTTCTCGCGGCTTGTAGGGGGGGAAATGGGGATGGACGAATTAATGATAAGGGATATAAGTAATAAAAATGCAAAGATAAAAGTACATTTATAAAAAAAGTTGCAAAAGACATAATTAAAATTTTTGAGCTAACATATTGAGACATTTGAAAATGACTATTAAGCAAATGATCCCTCAAGCTCTCCCCTTTTTTATACCATGCATCTTCCTCCACACTGTTCAATTCCATACCATATCATGGCTATGCCTTCTTCGTCTTCCTTCATCTCCTCGTACTACACTCTCATCTTCCCTTTCCTCGCCGCCGTCATCTTCCTCTCCTTCTCCAAACACAAACGCCGCCTCAACCTGCCCCCAGGACCGCCGGGCTGGCCAATCGTGGGCAACCTCTTCCAAGTCTCCCGCTCCGGAAAGCCCTTCTTCCAGTACGTCGACGAGGTCCTCCGGCCCAATTACGGCCCAATCTTCACCCTCAAAATGGGGGCCCGCACCTTGATCGTCCTCACCGACGCCAACTTGGCCCACGAGGCCTTCATCGAGAAGGGCGCCACCTTCGCCACCCGGCCCGCCGAAAACCCGACCCGCGCCATCTTCAGCTGCAACAAGTTCACCGTCAACGCCGCCCTCTACGGCCCCGTATGGCGCTCGCTGCGGCGGAACATGGTCCAGAACATGCTCGGGTCGGGTCGGGTCAAGGAGTTCCGGCACCTCCGCGAGTCCGCCATGAATACCCTTGTAGCCCGGATTCGGGCCGAGGCAGGGGAGAACGGCGAAGGACCCGTCTGGGTGCTGCAGAACGCCCGATTCGCCTTCTTTCGTATCTTACTGGCGATGTGCTTCGGGTTCGAGATGGATGATGATACGGTGGATGAGATGGATCGGGTTTTGAAATCGGTGCTAATGGTTCTCGACCCGCGAATCGACGATTTCTTGCCGATTCTGAGACTGTTTTTCTTGAAGCAGAGGAATCGGGCGGCGGCGGTGAGGAAAGAACAGGTCGACGCCATCGTTCCCCTCATCCAACGGCGTCGTAGGATGCTGCAGGACCACGTTTTAGATCCCAAAGCGATGTCGTTTTCGTACCTGGACACGCTCTTCCAACTTCGGGTCGACGGGCGGGATTCCGGACCCTCTGACCCGGAATTGGTAACCCTAGTATCGGAATTCGTGAACGGCGGAACCGACACCACCGCCACGGCGGTGGAGTGGGGGATTGCGCAGTTAATTGCGAATCCCGAGGTGCAGGGGAAGCTTTACGCTGAGGTCGCCGCCGCGGTCGGAAGGAGCGGCCGGAAAATCGGGGAGGAGGACGTGGAGAATATGCCGTACCTTCGAGCTGTCGTGAAGGAGATTCTCCGGAAGCACCCTCCGACGTACTTTACTCTGAGTCACGCGGTGACGGAGCCGGCATCGTTGGGAGGATACGATGTTCCGACGGACGCCAGCGTTGAGGTGTTTCTGCCGGCGATCGGGGAGGACCCGAGGATTTGGTCGGATCCGGGGCGGTTCGACCCGGACCGGTTCACTTCGGGGCGGGAGGAGGCCGATATTACAGGGGTCACCGGAGTGAAGATGTTGCCGTTTGGGGGCGGCCGGCGGATTTGTCCCGGGCTGGGACTGGCGAGCGTGCATCTCCACCTGATGATGGCTAGGATGGTCCAGGAGTTCGAGTGGAGTGCGTTTCCGCCGGCGGCGGAGATTGATTTTGAAGGGAGGATGGCGTTTACGGTGGTGATGAAGCATAGTTTGAGGGCCATTGTTAAGCCCAGGCCTCAATCAAGATAAGGTTCAGGGGTGTGAGCATATTAAAAGGTTATTTTGAATGTGGCGGGAAGGATTGTTATAGTACTCTAATTTCAGTTTTTAGTGTGTTTTTATATTAATGATGTATAATGATTTCTTCTTTGGAGTACATTTATATAATAATAATAATAATAATAATAATAATAATAAGAGTTCTTGATTCCTCAACTGATGCGCCAATACTATCAGCAACTCCAAAAATGAGTGTCCTTACCGGAGGATAGGTTGGTTCGGGGATCGGCTTCTTTTGCAGCGCAATTTGGAAGTGATGGTTTGACATCTGTCGTCTGTATATGGGATGGTGCGGTTCGTGCTGACTCACATTCAGCGGGAGGGCTGATCATAAAGGATGAATGAGGGTCAGTGCTATTCGCAAGAGAAATGATGTTTGAAAACATTGTTGACCCTCTTGTGGTGGAGACAATTGTCCTCCGTGGAACTATTCAATGGTGTCAGAATCTTGGCATCCCTCGGGTTCGGTTTGAAGATGATGCGAAGGTGCTCATTGATAAGATTAATGTGAAGGATGCACAAGATAGTCGTGTTGGGTCTATAATCTAGGAGATTCTGCGTCTGACGACTCTGTGTAGTGGTTTTCATGTATGATTTATGGGCCGGATTAACAATAAGGTAGCCCATTCAGTGACTAGGAATGCCCTTTCTTTGTCTCCGACTGCTTGTCGTTTGTATGATTTTTGTGCCTGGATTGGATCTAGCGTGTAGTCCGTGATCTTTTTATCGATCAATATGATCATCTTTTGTTAAAAATATAATATAATAAGTACTTGTTAATAGTTGAAGTTAATTCTAGAATTTATTAAATTAATATACAAATAATCTACAATTAAAACACTAAGCAAATGAGTGGTGTGGAGGAAGGAAGGTGGATATGTGACAAAAAATCTCTAGACTCAAATATGTCCATAGAGTTAATGTGATGTGTTGTATTGGTTAAATGGGAACCATACACTTGACACGGTTCCAACAAGCTCAATTAATGAGCTTAGATATTTTCCCTTGTTATTATTGTCTATAAAAAATATTGTATGAAATGATGTACAAGTAGTGAATTACAAAATTTTGCACTTAGTTTTTAATTTGTGACCACACACTATGAAAAGTTTGAATTTGTACAAAAGATTACTTCTGTTAATTTCCATCCTGATTTTCATTTAATTTGTCCTGTCAGTCCACTTCAATAACAAAATCGTCAAACTTCGCTCACTCATCACGCCCACGCCACTGTCATTTCCGTTTCAAATATTATGGCATAAAACCATTATCCGCAGTGGTAGATTTACAATATCATGAAGTTTATAACCATCGTTAATAGGATTTGAACGCATGACCTACAAGATTTAGATTATTATAGTGAAGTTTATAACGAGCAAGGCAAACTCTATTTGATAATATTAAATGCAAAACTTATCAAATAAATTCCATCAATTATATTAATTACTATAACAAAATTGAGACTATCATGTCATTAAACATATGGACTTTGCTACAATGACTTGCAAGTCATCGTGACTTGGATAAAATGGTTGATTGGTAAGCGTATGCGGTAGACTGAATACACTATTTCCCGTTTTGCTACGTTCAACAAGCAGTCAACCCGATGGCTTAAGTGGTACACCGATAAGCGTATGTTGTAGATCGAATATACTATTTTCATTTTGCTACGTTCAACAAGCAGTCAACCTAATGGCTCACGGATAGGGATGACAATGAGGCGGGTTTGCCTAAACCATCTCCATCCTCACTTTCAAGTATCCAAACCCACACCCTCCCCATACCAATGTGGGGAAGGTTTTGCAAACTCATCCTCACACCCGAGGTTTTCAGGTACCGTGGGTAATACCCGCCCTGTTCATCTAATTTTATAATACCTAAAATTTTACATGTAAAATTTTCAATTATAACAACAAACGCACCTACTATATAATGAGGTCGACAAAGAGACAATCATTCTTAATACAATTCAAAACATCTTATCCTAAAACATTCATTATTCCATAGATAGAGTGCAATATAATCCATATAATTATTCTCTGACTCTGATATATATACTAAGTAATAACTAACTAACTAACATAATCTTGTTAACACTGGAAAAAAGTGAAAAAGTGAAGGGAGAGTTGAGGGAAAGAAATCAGGTTTTTATTTGAGTGGCCACTCAATTACATTTCTAATATTTATTTTCTTGAGTTACTCTCACTATGACTGATAAGATACAATTTGATCCGTGTACTTTTATATGTGATGAAATGTTCTTGGTAGGGCGGGTATGGGTATGCGATGGGGGACGCTAAAACCATACCCGCCAAACATTTTGCGGGTTTTACCATACCTGCCCCATACCCAATTAATGGGGGGATTTCCCGCATTAACTGGGTACGGGACGATCGGGTACTCGCGGTTTTGGGTTTGATTGAATCCCTACGCACAGGTCGACCTGATGGCTCAAGTGGTCTACCGCTTCTAAAAAATGGTCAACCTCGCGTAAATTTTTTGTATCTGATCCCTTTTATTTGTAATTGCTTAACTTAATTTTGAATATTGATATAAGATTCTGATTCCAATTTTATAAGATGAACAATAAAGAAACAAACATGGACGATGGTACTCAAAATATGAAGCATGAAAAAAAAAAGTTAACACCGAAGACGACATGCATAGTGCGGACGATGAATAAACTAATATTGTGGCTCTTTCAATTATGCATTTACTTTTAAACTTTCATGTCAATAATCATATGCCCTTTCAATCATGCAATTACTTTTATTTTCCAATTTCTTTTTTACTCTTACCTCTTTTTTCTTTTCTTTATTTATATCTCCTAATATGTATTACTATTCATTATACTTATTTTTTGTTTATATGTTGAAATTGATCTATTTATTCGTTTTTTTTTGCATCTTTAGACATCTCTCACGCTTGAGTGAAAATAGAAAAACCATAGAAAATCTCCTAATATGGCGTTCCATTCATTAAACTTATTTTTTGTTTATTGTGTTGAAATCGACCTCATTTTATATTGGTTATGCATTCTTACTAATATCTTTCTCGCTCGACATTAAAATGACGAAAGTGGCGTAAGAATAATAGACAAAATACTACATTCTTTCGTCTTTTTGTCTTTGTCTTTCTTCTTTTCCATTTCTAAAGCAGTAAATTCGTAAATTACTACGAACTTCTCGCATAACAGCTTAATAATTTTCTCATCGTCCTTGGAGTTATGTTGTATGAGTTAAATTTTATTAATTCTTTCATATGACACATTTACAGTGCTATCTTCCACTCATCGCGAAGTGCAAGCGAACAGGCAATATCTAAGTATATTCTCAATATCACAGGGAACAACTGCTTAACTAAGGGCTGAAGTATATGAATTTTTCTGAAGAATCATGAAAAACCATATATTCTCAAAATCATAGGGAACACCCTAAACAAAATTTGTGTTTGCTTGAGCATCCTCTTCTTACCTTCACATATATACAAAGTTCATCAAACATTCGCAACTCCCTCCCAAGATTTCATGGCAAATTTTTGTTCCTTTGAGCTCCTGCTTTAAACAGGTAGCTCCTCTTACTGGAGGTTTTGGCTCTGCTGTAAGCCTGTAATTGTATGCAACTCCACTCCAATGTTGGAGCAAATCATCAAAGTCGTCAAGGATTTGATGGGCTCTCTGCATGCTTGCTTCCCAAGTCTTTAGATTCACATTTCCCCTCCACCAATAGGGACAGACTCTCCCCAGCTTTGGCTTCATCGCGGTCAGAGGCCTGGTGGCTCTCGTCGTCGTTGTTGTTGTTGGTGTTTGACTCAGTCTCACTGCTGTCATTGTGCTGCCTCGATGAAAACCCATGTTCAATATACAAACAGCTGTAAGGATGGACTTCGAAACCCACCTCTGCCCTGCTGTCCTGGGATCGGATGGCTGAGCTGAACAATGGCTGCTGCATCGCTCGTTTTCTCTCGAGGAACTCGTGCAGTGGTATTCGGCATACAGGACATGTGGAGTGCTGCTTCAGCCATATGTCGATACAGGTGACATGGAAAGAGTGTCCACAGTATGGAAGGATGCGCAGGATGTCACTCTGGCGATATTCTGCAAGACAAATTGAGCATCTGCCCACAGACAACAAAATTTGCATCTCTCATTAACTGTATAAATGAGAAGCTTAAACTTTGGGAGAGCAAAATGAAAAGGAAAGAAATATCAGGAGATAACATCAGATTCAAAGGGTGAAGATTCCAATGAACTAGTCCACTAATGATTCCATAGAGAACAGTGAAAGAATCCAAATATGCCTACTAGATAGACATGCTTTTTCCTCAACTTAACAATTGATCACAAGACAGATCAAATGGTATTCTGAAAACTCAAAAGAAAGGTGGCAGTGAAGAATATTATGCTTCAATAGTAACAGCTGCCAACTTATCTACATAGATTTCTTCAGCAATCAAACAATGTATACAGTCGGTGTATTAGTGAAGAGGACTCAACAACGCCGGAATGAATCCAGTTCCTGCATATGAATAGATTCTTGTTGCAAGTTGAAAATGAAAAATACAAGCTAATGAATAGAAAAATACCATCTCTAATCTCTATCTGTATTCCAAAACAAGACCTCCAACCCCTTGAAACTCAGTCGTTTACTAACAGCAATCTATCAGCATTATCAGTGACTCATCATCCATCCTATAAGCTCATGTTCATACTAAAATAAGGACAAACCAAAAAGGCGCAACAGATCACAGTGCCTTTTCCATTTTAATTTAGGAAAATGCTCTTCATAACCCCACACCTACAAGTGAGCCACTTCTCCGAGTTCTCCCCATGGCTCTCCAACAAAAAGAAAGCCAAGGAAAATGGGGCGGTTGGATGGACAGTAAGCAAGAAAAGGAAAAGCAATAACCTTCGTGGGCACCCCACCTCATATACTATGGCTTTCCCATTATGCAAATGCCAGTATCTCAAATAAACAAACACCAATCCAAAAATATCTCAAGGGAACAACATGACTCGAGAAATGACTTGGCAATAAGAACCCAGTATTCCAAACTTAAACAGTGAAGTGTAGAAGGATTAGAACATACTGTGCGTCTTCGGTGGTGGAGAACAACTCGTTGTTGTACTCCTTGGTTGGGAAGTTAGCCACAACTACAGGGTCGAGGCCATGATGATACCCTCTCTCCAACTGCAAAACAGATACAACAATAACATAAAATCAAAGATCTTGAACAATGAAGATGATAATTAGATGGGTAAAAAGAGAAGGGGGTGGGTGTTCTCAGTTTTTGGAATCAAAATGAAACAATCCCAGTTTCCCCTTTTGAGAGCAGCAACTTTTAGTCCATCAAAGCAGAGGAAGCAAAATTGAGCATGGAATGGAAGCAACATTCTAGTCCCTCATAGCTCTAAATAAGCAAACAAAGTTCAAACACATACACAGGCCGGTACAGACAAATAAAGAAAGAGAATTGTGCATTTTCCATACAACCAGAAAAGAAAGAACCACAGGGGACAAGAACATGAACAATGACAGAAATGCTTACAATGCCAAGATCGGATCTGGAAGCAACGGGGAAGGAGCGGCGAGCTGCGTTCAAGTGAATCCGAGCGCAGACAAGACGGGTACAAACAAAAACTATGAACATGGTGCTCATAGCAAATCCTATAACTGTCATCACCAAATTCATCCCGGAAGTAATCATCTTTTTCTTCTGGGATTTCCCTTTATTTTATTTCCCAGGGGAAAAAATAATGAAGAGGATATATAATATAGAATGCAAAGAAGTGACCTTTCCCCTCCACTCGGCAACTGTTGAAAGATCAAAACGCCAAACAAGAAGAAAACAAAAAAAAGGGGTGAGTCAGTAAGTCCCACAATTGCCACTCAATGCCTCTGCAGCAACCCAAAAACCCAGTTCCTCACTGAATAAGCAGCAGCGGTGGAAACAACTGTTCGTTCCAACACACAGACTGCCATCACCATTTCTCAATCAGACTGGTTTGGGCTGAATCAGGAAGAACCCCTCTCTCAACTGAGACTAAAACCCAACATTTCCTTCTCTGTTTTGCTGGCGCGGGAGAAATGGGTGCTCTGCTTTTTTGCAAGTGTGGAGAGAGAGAGAGAGAGAGAGAGAGAGAGAGAGAGAGAGAGAGAGAGATGAGTGAATTGAGGGAGGAAGAGTCAATAGAAGAGTAGTGTTGTTGTGATTACAGATGAGTGAATTGGATTCGATTGGCTATTTGTGGAGTTCCCTTTTCCCTCGTTGCCCCCCTCCTTTTCAGAAAGAAAAGTTCTCTCCTTTTTGGTGAGCTCTGTCTCCGGTGTCATTGCATTTGCATACCTCAAATCCCAAATCTTTTCCTTTCTATTATCGTGGGAGGAGACAACGACGTTTGAGGGATATTGCGATTTTGCGCATGATTCTTATAGTTGGTCCACAGAATTTGCGGTTTTGGGATTCCTTTTTTATGGTTGCTGCTTGTTAGGAACAAGTAAAACACAATTATATTTTCATCCGCCAAGAGGAAAGAAAAGATAAACAAAATCAGATTTGGATATGGTTGTCGAGTTTCAAAGAATATAAAAAATCACCACAAAAACTGGGAAGAATAAGATAAAGAAACAGTGGTGGGAAGAGTTCAAAGAATTTCACGATGGATTTTGGCACAATTTCTCATTCTGCGTAAAGAGTTCACCACAGATGATGTTATTGCAGGTACACTGCCAATGGAAGCACTGTACAAAGGATCAGACTGTTTATTGGCTATAGCACATCATCAAGCCTAAAACAGATAAATCAAAATCATCGTGTGACTTGGTTGGGACAATCCCTTTACTTTCCTGAATACAAAACCTGGTATCGTGTTTTTCTCTTCTATACTCAGTTTAAGGTACAACAGTTGGAGCCTCTAGAGCTCACCAGACAAGTATGTCTAACTACAGCCGTATAGCGTCTACACGAATACAAACAAGTTCTTGTTCACCAGTCATGCACAGCCCACACACTGCTAAACTCACAATGGCAAACAAAGAATTCCATCATCTGTACATATCTGGAGAGTAGGGACTGGAAAATGAGAAACGGTCGGCGGAAGGTGGAATCCCATCTGTTGTTCTTCTACCTGAAGGAATTGTCGAGAAGCCTTCTGAAGGAGTCATCCGCAACATCAAATCGCCATACCCAGGACCGGCTGTTGGGGAAATGAGAATCCCATCAGCAGCTCTACTTCCAGGAAATGTTGAGAAACCTTCTGAAGGAGGCATCCGGAACATCAGATCACCATACACAGGACTAACTGGGAATGCAGGGTATATACTTGAAGGTAAACCCATGTCTATGGATGGATCGATCCGTTGCCTCTGGATAGAAGCACCATCAAGATATTGTTTGCTGGTAAGCAAATGGTTGTCTGTAGGAAAATTCATCTTGGGGTCTGAGTACTGCGGCATAGCAACAAGTTGATTACTCACTGCTGCTTCTGGATTATTTGATTCTTTCCCAGAATGATGGTTTTCAAAACTTGATCTGGCACTGGAGCTGAGGATGTCGGCCCTACTGGGACCCAAGAGTTCGCTATCCAGACTCAATCTTGTATTAAGAGAAGAGAATTTGTTTCCTTCACTTCTACCCGGAGCTGGAAAATCAGTTGGTAGTCTGAAAAGTCCAGGATATCTTCCAGGTATTTCAGGTGTATTGTCCACAGGTGCTGTTGTCCGAAGAGAAGAAGGAGCATAAGAAGTTCCAACCGGACTGCTACTTACAGCAGATGGAATGTTGTCAATTTGCTGTTGTAGTGATTGCTTCGCTTTCTTAAGAGCCTCCAGAATACCCAACTCCTTTGGTGCTTTGTGTGGAACCAATGCGTGTACTTCACTTTGGCTTTGAGAAGCTCTCTCTTTGTTGATATCACTGGCTCTATTGGATTCGAAGTCAAGATTCAATTGGCTGCCAGGAGCATCATTTGTATCATGTGTCTGTGGATGCTCATGGGAGCTACTAGAGGGTGAACTCCGGATGTTTGCAAGCTGAGCTTCATTATGCTTACTTTCTATTGAAGAGCAGGCAAAATCGTGACAGCGGGATCCCGAAGTAGGTGCAATGCTATTTTTTTGCACCTTCAGGTGCTCCTTGTTAACAGTCTGCTGAAGACTGCCATTAGGATGGAATTTTGGAAAATCTTCAGCTTCAGATTTTTCCACGTGGTTGGAGGACACGATAGTCCTAGCAGCATGTGGTGGATGTTCGTTAATCTCATATGGAGCTTCCTCAGTAACATCTGAGCGGTTCCCAGGGTCACAAGAATCCTACAATTACTCATTTCACAAAGCATAGGATGTCAGGAGGACTAACTTATCAAGATCCTAGATGAATAAAAAGAAGAAACCAAGCAGTAGCAGCAAAATGGTTTTCCCAGCCAAGTGAGCTTACTAGAAAATATATATATGAGATATATCATCAACGTAAGGAGGGTGTGGCAAATGAAGATGGTATGACAATAAATTTTCAAAAAACTGCACGTCGTCAACCAATCAGAAAGAAATTCAAATTCAGCTTATTTCACCAATTTCAATGGACAAGAACAGTGGATACAAAAAATAATTTAAAGACTATTAATAACACAAAATTCAGCACATTCCAACAGTTATGTACTGTTGCACATGCAAGCTTGTAATTTACTTCACACCCATAAATTTGGCTTTACATTCAAGCTGTATCTTCCATTCAAGGTGAATCAGGGCGTTCTCCCCATTCATCTACTACCTGTGGAGCCCATGTTCCCTATTACTACACCAGAATTCACCTAGACATTTCCCTCTCTTTAGTTTAATAATTTAACCGATAAACCCATGACCATACTCTAACAACACCCAGCTAATTGTGGTGCTTCATAGTTTCAAACTCTTCACCAAGCATTTTCACCAGAGATGCATAGAGTTAATTTGGATGAGAGGGGAAAAAAAATTAGTTATTGGCAAGCTGAAACTGAGTTGGAGAGTCTGTGCTTGTGCCTTTCTCTTTTCTCATTGCCATATTTATGGATTGAATCCAGGAAGAATCAGTTTTCAGTTGGTCTGCTAAATAAGTCTATAGTCACACTGCAATTCCTATCAAAAGCAAAGATTTTTACTCTTCAAACAAAAAAGATGAGGCAACCTAATCCTTGCATACACAAACCCCAAGTGACCGAATGTGCTAGCAGGAAACTTAGTTCTTTGTACTATGAGGTTCAAGCAGACATACCGGTGCACTGCTGGAAGTTTCTCTGAACTTCTCTTCCCATTCTCGTTGAGCCTTTTCCATCTCTTCATATCTTTCAATGAGTTGTGCTTGCTGTTCAATGGCCTTTTCCATGTCACCAGCTCTGCACACAATGATTCTCAAGGTCAGTACAAGCATTATGAAGCAACCTACAGGTGACCTTTGTTATCCTGGTATTGAAGCAAAGTGGAGAAGCTTCAACAGTTGAATAAGCTATAGTTACAGAAAACCCATTATAAGAATTACACTCGTAAGCCAAAGGAAAAAACTCCACATTAAAAGAAAGTATCCAATAGCATTTGTGCAAAACAAGAGCCACAACCTAAGATAATTTTAACAACGAGAACTTTCATTTCAATTTCTTTGTCCTGCAGGGAAAAGCTTGCTTTCTCATCTCTAGTGAGTCAGTGACAACCAAATTAGTGCTCCATTTCCTCCAAGTAAGTCCTCACATTCAATCCCTGCCAGGATGGCTGTCCGAAAGTAGTATATAGGTTTATGGGTTGAGCATTAACAAATACAAACAGTTTAGGGGGCAACATTAAAAACCTGGGATTAGCAACACACAGTCACTCACTAAGATGTGATGAAATAGAAAAAGCATCAGATGTACGGTATAATTATCACTACTTACTAGCATTAAGGAATTATGACAAACCTTGTGTCTTTACGTCGTGTTTGGCGGCATGATTTTCCTGGTTGGCGTCTTGAAGAAGACGAAGCAGAAGTAAAGGTGCTAGAACTTCTCAGAGCTGGGTCCTTGCACCTTTTCATAGATCCCGTTCCATCCTTGCCACTTTTCCAGGACAAGCTTCTGGCAGTAGAAGGGATGAACTCGTCGGAACCTGAGCGCTCATCAGACTCGCTGTTTTTAGCTTTTGAATTGACAGAACTTTGCACTTCTTTAGAAGACCCATTAACCAAGCCGAATTCACTTTCATCATCCTGGTCAGAGCTTGAATCAAATGGCCCAGAAGCGTCACTCAATCCATTGCTCTCCAGAATTGCAAGAACATTAACCGTTGCCTTTTCAGCCTTCATTCTTTGAACTGAGACAATTCTCAACTGTTCTTCCAGTTCTGCAACCTACCCAGCAAGCAAAACAAACAATCCATTAAGTTAAGTATAACTGTTATAGAATACAAAACCCCTTACCCACATAACCAATTTTCACCCACGGACATACTAGAAAGTAGCAAAAATCGACAGGGAAAGGGAAGACAAATTAAAAAAAAAAAAAGACATACCCTTTGTGCAAGTTCATCAGCTCTCGCTCTTGCAGACTTGGAGACAGATCTTTCAGACAACAGGCGTGCGCGGAGGAACTCTATAGTCATAGTAGAATCCTCCATGGCACAATTGTTGCTGCCAAAGTACAAGTTTGATTAACGAGCAATCAGTACAGCAACAAGGATAGTATGGAACAAATAATAGAGAGCACAGATGGATAGAAACCAAGTAGAAATAATTATAAACAAATGGATCCCAGTAAACAAAGGATACAAGGAAAGGAAACCACATAGACCAATAATGGCATATCAGATGGACAAAATCAGCAGAGAAGACAAAGGTGACAAACCATTACTCAATCACAGGGATTACAACATCATTAATGTGCAATGTCATATACTCCAATTGAAGGACAAACAATACAACAGGAAATAAGAACGTATACGGAATAATTAGGGGTAAAGCAGTTCTATATAATTGTGTCTCTCTCACATGACACACGCCCTAATAAGCTATCACACAGCTATGGCCCAGCCAACGTCTTTCTCACTGCTTCAATACTTCACTAGCACACATCTATTTACAAGCTAAAATCAATGACTACTTCATTTCTCTACCACGCTGCAACTGGAAAAGGAATTCTAATACTCACAACAACAATAGTCTAATTATGTGAAGTAACACACAGTATTAGGGCCTGAATATGTAATGGAAATTTAAGCATAAAATCCTTCATGGTGGCTGTTGCAAAATATTAAGCTCTGTTGAAAATCCTAACACAGTGCACAATCAACATTCAGAATGTTAACGCGACTTAGGAGCCTTGTGTTCTGAAGTCGCACAAAAAGTAGATGTAATTGTTTCTGTAATTATCTAGAACCAACGTTTCAAGCTCCATAACCTGTTCATCAGTTTTGGAAGATAGCAACATCATGATATCCCTGAAGTGAACACAAGGATGAAGTTCATTGGCAAGAGATTTGTTTTTTTGGCAGTGTTAACTTCAAATTGGTCTACAATAGACCTCTTTCAATTTAGTTCATTGTTCACTTGCTGCTTATTCCTCCACCTGCTAAATGATGTGTTTCCGATATTTACTGATGAATCACTGCCAGATTTGAGACAGCTTTTCAGAAGAGGTCAGATAGTTCCCATCCGTATAAACTACCACGGAACAAGAAGCCATAATCCTCTCCCCCGCTTCACTCATTCACAAGTTTCTACTTAACTAGGAAAACTCAAACCAACCTTTCTGAAACCAATCTGGTTACAGATCAAGTTTAGCGAATGTTAATCGCCAGGACACATCCAGAATAAAATAACAAGAGGACCACTGATATGTGCAGATTAGAAGTAATGATTTTGGAAGAAATTCTATTCAGCACAGGGAAGAAAATAAGACCGAAGACCCACCATGACGCCACCATATCCTATCTCTACTTATCAATTCAGGGAATGAAGCAAATTATGCACAATATGCTTGCCCAGGAGTTCATTCGAGAATCAGCTACTTCTACACTACAAAAGTTAATTTGGCCACGAAATTCCGCCTGACAAAGACGATCAACCACAAAGAAGAAGAAAACTCCATGAAACAAACCGTAGAATACCCAGAAACGCAGGAGCTTGATATACTCAAACGGGAAGGTCTAGGAAGTAGCAGCAGTACCAAGTAGAATCATACCTCTGATCTTGTTTCCCTTGACTAGGCATATCTCATCACGTCAAGTAACTAAGCTCAAAGACAGGAAATTTATCTATAACCAAGAAGAACCCAACTCAAGGCGGAGCATTTCCTGTAAAATCCACCAGCAACTAGGATCAAACAGAGAAGTTGAACGTGATCCATCAGAGCTGAGAAAGCAAAAAGATCAAAGGAAAAGCAGAGGTGCATTTAGTACCTTTTCAGTAGAGAAGCGAAGAACTGATCATTCCTGGGAGTCGAGGGAGAAAGAACCCTAGTGGTGGCAACCTTTAGAGAGAGAGAGATGGCATCGGGAAAGAGGAAGAAGAGAAGGAAGGTTCTTTTTTTTCTATTTTCTTTCAACGTGGACACCGGTTTGGAGGGGCCGATGATGGGGTCATCACATCAGCAGAGCATCCTCATCGGAGACCTCACAAACTCATCTCTTGCTCTCTTCCCATCACGGCATCGTCGTCTCACTTCTTTTCGTTTCTTCCGCTTTGTTGTCACTCATTTTGTTTTAGTGATGCATACTGCTCTCCTCTTTTTGTAAGTAATACTCTTTTTTAACTAGGTTATGGGCCGACTCATTTCACACGAGAAAGTTGGACAATGTATTGGCCTCAATTTAGTGTCCAAACAATATTGATATTTGAGCTATCATATCAACGAGAATGAAATAATTTTTTTGCATAAAGCCAAACTAGCTTTTTACCCGGCCTTTGGCCGGGATTTTTTAATTTATTTTTCCATAAAATATTTATTAAAATTTAAAGTAATCTTCTCTTGATCATTATTGGGAAAACTCAATAAGGAAGAATATTTATTTATAAAAATGATAGATGTTTAGCTTTATTCTTACATGTTATTAAATGGATTCGAAACTAAAACCTTTACGTGATTGAAGACCTCTAGATCAAGCTATTGTCCACCTTCATGTTAGAATTTTGTAGTCTGATTTGTACTGTGTATTTCACCAAATTGTTTAATATTTTATATTAATTAGTACTTGTAACAATAATTTATTTTATCATTTTATCCAACTTCCAAGTACGACATAATTCTTTTACTTATTTATCAATAGTTATTGAAGAAGTTAAGACCAGACCTCTCCCTTCTTTCCCGTATTAATTGCATCATTTGCTTGTGGCCTCTCTCATAAAACTCCTCTCTCAAACCAACTATTAGTATTAAGAATGACCAAAACATTCTATAGTTACTCAATTATATGCGACGAATTTTAGTTGATAGTTTTGTATTTCAACAAAAATTCTATATCCACCTTCAATTTATAAAAAATTGGAACACATGCTTGTGTTATGATTTGAGAAAACTTCAAATGATGGTTTGATAAATCATTTTAATTCATGACGATTTTAGAAATTTTGGGACATATTTAGTTGTTCATATCATATATTCATATTTTTTTAGCTTGGAAGTAGAAAAAAACACGAATGTGAATGAGGGTTAGCACACATGCTAACCTCATTAATAATCCTTAATATTTTAGTCTCATATCCAAAGATAGATATTGATACATATAGTTTTGGAATTTAAAAATTAAGTATGACTTTATATTTAAATTTCACAACAAAAATACTAATAGATTTTCTCTCTCGATCCCAATTTTCTCTTCCCATAAACAAAAGTTAGTTTAAAACGAAATAAAAGTATAAATTTAAATTTTAAATTTAACGAAAAAATATAACAGATTTTTCCCTCACGGTCTCTATCAGTTCCTCTCCTTTCTTCTCTCTTCACATAAACGAATACGTTAATTTAAACATAAAATAGAATAATAAAGCGGTTAATCATCCGGGAAAAATAGGCGGAGAAATTACCGGGGAAAAAATAGGCGGAGAAAAGGGGGAAAAAAGCTGTGCTGACGTGGCCTCATGATATCGTAAGGAATTTGAAATGCAGAAGGCCTTTTTGAGAAACCCCTTAATATATTTTAGGGATAGTTGTAGGATTTTCTATAAATGGAGTATTTTTATTTCGTGGCGGATTAAGTGCATTATCTATTGAGATTTCATTTTTTCAAACTCTCAAATTCGTCCAACTCGTTTGACATCTTCGTAAGGAAATTGTCCTTTACTTTGACAATTGTTTGCTATTGATTTGTGATCAACATGATCATATCATATGGTACTAAACATTCAACTATTTAATGGTAAGTAACTAATATATATTTGAACGATGTCAAGTGGTCCAACGACTAACAGTTCAAGTTAAAGCACAGCTTTTTTCTTTAGGTGCATAGGGTTGTTTGGTTTTTCGGTTGTTTGATTTTTCCGATTGTTAAATAGTTGTATTGTGAATAATACATGTATTGTTCTGACTATTAATAATTAAGAGGTCAAGTCACTTTTAAACGAAAATGTCACTTCGTATCCCTTCTTCTCAATACAAAATGTATTTTTTAAAGGTTAGATTTATGAAGAATACAATGAATCAATTCTTGATCTATTCAATCCAATCTCACCAATTTGAACCGATAACTGGATACTAAAATTGACAACACTTGAAATATAGAAGACATTGATTACACCCCTCAATTAGTGGATCCTCCTTAAGTTTTGTTCCAAGACAAATAAGATGGATCACCTAATGGCCTGCAAAAACACATAAAAAAACAAATCAGAAGTGCGTCACAAAATTAATAGAACACACCACACAACATCTATAGCTGGATAGATTCTAATAAGGTTGTCTCCAACAACGTAGAGACATATACAAGAAGATGCGAAAGAGGAAACTCATATGCAGAGTTCCTTTCTGAAAGCTATACATATGTGTTTATCAGTTTATGTGTTCTAAGTTCCAACTCACCTTGACTTGAGCAAATAAATGAGGATGAAGGAGATGGCCAAGAGGAAGCAGATTCCACCGACGGCGAGGTATGCAGCCCCAAGAAAATCGTTTCTGCCACCAATCCAAGTGGACGTGGAGAGGATCAACATCTTCTTCCCTCCATAACCATATGAGTTATAGTTGTTCTCTATAGCAACTTCTATCTGATCGTTCGCCTCCAAATCCTCCTCTATTCTTCCATACAATTTCCTAAACGTTGGCAGTGCTGCTGTTCGCATCCACACTAACAGGTTTTCTTGCTCGCTCAGCTAAAGTTTCAAGTTCACGACATCTATTAGAAGACAATAAAAGAGAGACAGAGATCTTCACAGTTCCGGTTATGAGTGATGAAGGAGCGGAAGTTCTTACAGGGATGCTGGAATTGAGCTTTGCACCTCCAATCAACCCACTATTCTGGAAGTTCTTAGGGTAGACATCAGAACCAAATTTGTGTTCTCTGTCACTTGCCCATGCAATGTCCTTCTTGTTGACGCTCAACACCTTTTTCTTGGTGGAGATGGTGAAGCTGTAAGTGTCGTTGAACAGACTCCACGCAATGAGGCCACATGGAACAATCGGCTTCCCATCCACACTATCTTCTGGTTTGCATGGCGACACGGCATCTTCGTGTGCTTTGCTCAGTAATTGTATGTTACTTCGACTCCTCACGTACCTGAAATGTGGAGTAGACAGAGTTGGATCTTTCAATCCAGGATCCAGATCAAGACGGAGCCGAGCTCGCATGATGCAATGGGTCGAAAAACCAGCAAGCTAGAGCAGGGAAACAATACACAAAGATATATACTGACATCTAATACTCATCAAGAACCTCTTTGTAACCATCTCAAAGCTGCGCCAGCCTCTTTCTGGATTACTTGTTCCATATCACAACACATCGATTGAACTTGAGAGACTCACCTGCGGTGGTTTTGGTAAAAATTGTCGAGCTGATAATATACATAAATGGGCTGCTTCATTGGTTTTGGTATCTACATGAGACAAAGATGAAGCAAGATGTTTAACCAGAATCTTTTACAACATGAATGGAAAAAGATCGATCAAGAATAGCAATTGATCAAACAATTACCATTAATGTCCTGCTGCAGGTTTTGTTGGTTCGAGTATTTTGAATGTAATTGACAGCATTGGCACTAAAGCTGTTTGGAATGCAATCTGCATCATAGCGGTCCACAATCTCTATCACCTACAGGACATAGCAATTCACAAAGATAAAGATTACCAACTAAGATGATCTAGGGAACATGATTACATTTTCAGAAGATCATAAGAATCAGTACCATCATAGGAAGAAAGATCACAACAATTAACAAAGAATTTACATTTTCAGAAGATCATAGGAATCAGTACCATCATAGGAAGAAAGATCACAACAATTAACAAAGAATTTACATTTTCAGAAGATCATAGGAATCAGTACCATCATAGGAAGAAAGATCACAACAATTAACAAAGAATTTACATTTTCAGAAGCAGAGAGTGAGGCAAGTCCAATAGGAATGAAGATGAACCCAACAAAAGTGAAAGTTGCAATAACCTGGAAAATTATATGTATGAATTAGGGTTCACACAAATCCTAAAAAAGGGTTGATACGAGGATTAAAGCTATCAATCAATTCCCAATTTACAGAAAGAATAAGGCTCACCAATCCTGGAGTTAAAATGGGTTTGCAAGCAGAAAGCTCTTGTTGCGAGAACTTCGAATCTTCCATTTAACCAGCAAAAAGCAATTAGAAATGGGATAGGGAAGAATTTCGAATCAACCCACAATTTTTTTTTTCAAACATAGAATCATAACATATCAACAATCAATTCAGAAGAAGGGATATAAGACAAACATGCAGGTCTGGCAGAATGCTTCTTGGCGGAAGAAGTGGAGGAGGAGGAAGACGAAGACGAAGAACGAGAAGGATCATCGTCGGCGGTGGCAGCTCCTCGTCCTCGTCCGCGTCCCACTGCTCTTTTGGCGACGGCAGAACCCTTCGCGCCCTTTATTTGCATATCAATCACCACATTCTCCGACATGGATGCATGCAGTGCAAATAAAAAGGACACACAAAGGGGCGGGAATACAAAAACCCAGATCAGATGAGTTTTTGCATGGAGACAAAAATGATATGTTCTTCCGATGTGTTCCTTCTTATTATTGGAAATTGATGATCGAAGAAGAGGAGAAAGGTGGGGGGAAAATCACCCCCTCCCCACTCTTGTGCTGACATGCTTCCACCTTTTACCAGTGGTGTGTACACCGGTTGGGCGGATTGGGTTCGACCCTTTCTAGCTATTCGACTCATATATTTCGGTTTGGTCATATTAAATCCAAATAACCTGATCCTGGCTGGACCATGCATTCTACTGCCATGTTCGAAGGAGACCTTTATTGCCATACTTCAGTACCAACATCTTGTCTCCAAGATAGTGATCCACTTAGTGAAGCAATAGCAGAGATGTACTATGGATGCCCAAGAACTAAACCTAACAATGTTTCTGCATTACGGCAGGCAGAATGGTACTTTGCAGAAGGCTACAAGTAGAACATAGAAAAAGCAACTGTAAGCAGTATGCCATCATCCCAACATCATATATGGTAGAGGTCAACATGTCCAGACACAATGAAGAAACGATTTACTTAGGTGCATATACAAAATAAGAACAGGAATCAGTAACTGAACTGAAACGTGAAGACAGTAACCGGATCAAATAAGAATATTTCCTCTTACAGGCAAGAAAAGAAACTCACACACGATCTGCGTGCTGTAGGCATATCAGTCTACAACCAGATGGTGGCTTCACTGCTCTTGCTCTTGCTCTTTGCATGAGACACACAACGACGGAACAACTACAAAGCTAAGTTTGTGTTGGTTCGCCTAAAACTCAAGGGTTTGAAACTTCAGTTTAAAGTTTAAACAGCTGAAAATAGTAGAACAAGAGTGGAGCACTTGATATGAGTTTAAGATAGAAGTTAAAACTTTGGAAAAGATAAAACATTAAATGTCCGTTTGAAGTAGAGGCTTATTTAGAAGAGTGTTTGTTGCACTTTTGGCTTAAACCTTCAGTTGGGGAAAAAGCCTGATAGTAATATTTGAACCAAGGCCTATCACAAACAATTAACCCAGTAAAGCAAGTGAAATTACTAGACGAAACATAAGGGAAAGTGGAAAGAACATTTCAACTTTCAGCAAAACTAGAACAAAGCCTGATGTCAAACAATGTTGAAAAAGGTTACCATGCTGACAAGTGGCCGAACCTCTACAAGTTTTCAGATCATATGAATATACTAAAGATAGCACTAGAATGAGGGTCAGACGAAATCATGTCACTCTGTGATTTTTCCAATGAAGATATCTAATACTACATACAATAGAAGATATCTTGCTGTAAGATTAACATGCAGCAATACAGGTAACTGGCGAGGCAGCATACCTTTTCTTCCTCTTCTGTTCTACTGCATCTTTTACTCAGTATCTAGATCATTAACCTCCTCCAAGTCTACATAGTATCACTTCACTATTCAGTATTCAATGTTCTCATTTCTCTAAAAAATCTTCTCTTTTCACATCTATAACTACATGAAGAAGTTCAATTGGTGTAGCGGCTGGGTCCAGTTCTCTACAACCTTTGGGACAATCTGGACCTTCTTGACTAGTTAGTAAATAAGAGGGAACAAAGTGCGAAAATCTGAACATTTCTTCTCTCGGGATTCTTCTGATTTCTCCAACATCTAAATGTTGGCGAAACACGGTTTTAAAACCAGCTACTTTTACCAGGGGAACTACAACAATCCCTAGGTCTTTATCAAAGTCCTCAAGAACCTCCACCACATCATACTTCTGTATGACCTCATTTTCCGTCAGCTCATTCCAACCTGGGGACCAGTTTCTGTACAGAGCCCAAACATCGCCCTTCCTGGGATATATATGTATCGACCCATGAATGCCTCTTGTCCACCTAACCTTGTGAGAAAAACAATAGAGAGAGCTATAAATCTCACGTCTCCCTACTTGAAATTCCCCACAAGTTTTTGAGAAGCCAGAACAAACCCAATTCATAGGACCAAATTCACTTGTGGTTCTTGATTTCAGCCAACTAATCCGCAACTTTAGTGGATCCAAGGAAATCACAGCATGGATCATGGCATAATATCGAGGGAACCCTTCATTGTAATCATAGGCCGCCCATACTTGGTTCTTGCCAAAACATGTTTCAGTTCTATTATTGTCAAAATTGTAGAAGTCTGCATCTGGGACATCGATAAACATTGAATCCAACATTTCCCTGTTTATTTTTGAATCAGAAGTAGCAATCTCAAACCCCACTTCTGGATTGGGTGGATCGCAGGGGGCGCAAGGTTCATTTGCATCACCATTTACCACAGAATTTTCAGATCCAGTATCATTTTTTCGACTGTCATTTCCCGTTTCCATGAACAATTCACTCATGGTAGCTGAATTCAAATCATAGAGTTTCTTACTGATGGCATTCCTGGCCTTATCCACCAGAAGTGGCTCAATCTCAACCTCAGTGGCATCCCTCAGGTTAGAACACCTTGTGATACCAACAACACCAGTTGACCCACTTCTTCTAGAAGTTGAAACCATTTGATTAGTAACAGAACCTTTGTCATTGTTGAAACTACCATCTTCTGTGTTTCTCCTTCTTTTCCCAGCATGCCCACCACCCATTCTTTTGCCAACATGTTTCCTCTTAAGACTCTCTTCTTTTCTTGTGGCAGCCTGCGCCGCTTCTCGCTCCCTCCTCACCTTTTCATAAGCCTGCTGAACAACACTTGCAGCTTGAGCGGCATTAGATGTAGTACCTGTTTTGGAGGAGAATGGAGTCCACTGGTAGTTGATCCCTCCATTTGAAAATGAACTACTGGCATTACTAGCTTTCGTAGTGTTTTTGTCGGAAGCTTGTTGATGTGATTGCTGGGAAAAGTTCCACTCTGCAGTTGATTTAAAACTAGTTGATGATGGTGGAGCCGTTTCGGTAGCTATAAATGGCTCGTGACAATTGGGACAGAGTAGATTATGATTCAGATAAACTCTAAGATACTCATACTGCATCCTGCACTGATGGCAAACAGTCCAAAAAGTCCTAGATTGTTTTGACTTCTTAGATGAAACTGGAGAAGAATAACCTGCTTTTGGAACACTCTTATTAGCCTTTGCAGTTGCTTTGGTGGAAGTGTTGAATCCACTGGAGGAAGGCATCGTAGATGGAGCCTTAGCCGAATTTGAGACCTTCCGAAAAATGTTGGTCATTCTATTCTGGTCGTAAGTTGTCCTCTTTGTTTTGTCAGACAATAAACTCCATGCCATAGATATAAGTTTAAACGCACCATCAGCTCCAACTGACTTATTTTTGTCAGGGTGAAGGACCAAGGCCAATTTCCGGTACTGTTTACGAACCATGTCATCATCAGCTAGTGGGTTAATGCCAAGTATCCCATACCAATCTTCTTCTCCATTTACTTTGTTCTCCGAAGAAATGTAGACATCAAGAGTTGCTACCATTTGAGAAATGCCCTCAAGCTCAGGATACAAGTTCTGGGCCTTGAGTGCAAATTTTCTTGCCCCAACAAGATCCTTCTCGATAAATTTCTTCTCAGCAATCTCCTTCGCTCTAGCTGCCTCATCCCTATTGCACTCCATATCCCAAGTATCTTCTAGTTCCTCAAAACTTCTCTATATTCTAACTGAGTGGTTGCATGTCACCTCTATGCAAGAAGAAATTCAATTACCAATCCACCAGAATGAATGATGTTCCCATCTCAGGCAAGAGTCTGTTTCCGAACGATTTCCTCAAACTCACAAAAACATCTTCCAGAAAGAAGCCATCCTGAAGGTTAAATAATTCATAAAATTAATCCACTTATGCATACCAGGGGAAAACATATGCTATACCACAAGGACAGAAGCAACCCTAAAACAACCTAAACATTAGAATCACTTACGAGAACAAGATGTTATAACATCTGCAAGCAATCCTGTGACTAAATTAAGCGAAGGGATAAAGAGATGTCCGATGTCCATCAACACAAACCTAAGGTAAATACGAAAACTGAAGAACAATAGAGTTAAGCTCACAAAAGAGAGGACCCAATCAGGAAAGTAGGTTTGATCATTTATTTCATTTCAATTTCAAGTCAGAAAAATTGTCAAACTAGAGCTTAGTGGTTCTGGATACCGAACAGTCAACTAATCCTGCAAAAATTTGCGGCAGTGAACAAGGTTAGTGAGGCTTGTAAGAGCAAACAAAAGAACTATATTGTTGATATCTCCCTCTCTCTCATCAACTGCAGAATCACGAAATTTCACCAATGTGGAGTATATGGAGCAAAACATCAACTGGTTATATATTCTCTATATCACATGTATTAATTCCAGGGCACTGGCAGAGAGGAAAGTAAACAATTCTACAGCCTAAACCAACGACTTCAAAAGCAGAAGTAACAATGCAGCAAGTGCAGTGCAGGGCGATGGAACTCAAAGAAGAAAGCAATAGCAACAATGGCCCAAAAAAGGTTGCAAATTTCATGTCTACAGCACTCTGAAACAGTTCCAGCTTACTAGAAACTGAACATTCCATGGTAATTAAGGCAAGAAAAGACTCCATGAAATGAAATCACTCGGGGGATTGTATTCAGTGCCAGCAAACAAGACACGTACCAAGGTTTGAATTTGAAGAGAAAAGGCCAGCTCAGCACAGCAAGCAATCTTCTACCCAAAAGTGTTGGTAGTATTCAGAAACCGCAACAACCGATTGTCCAGGAAGAATGAGGATCGAGGCGAAAGTGGAATGGGAATGGGATTTCAAGACAGACCTAACCCAAAATCACAATTGAGGAACAGAGGGGAAAGGGGGGTTGGAGGAATCTGGTGGCGAAGAAGAAGGAGAAAGTGTTGAAGTGGAGGACAAGGTAAAAAGGGGGCGAACCGGCGAAGGAAAAAGCTTCTTCCTTTCCTTTGTACAGCGGGCAGCGAGAGAGGAGGGAGGTGAGAGCCGTTTGACCGAACCGGAAGCCGAAAGGAGTGGCTCCGACCGTAAGTCGAGCAATCGACTGGTTTGGCCTGGCCCCAGCCGAGTTCTCCAACCAACCAAACCAAATACGGCCTCGGTCTGATATCCACATCGCAAACTTTAGTATGTACTTTGCTAATCGGAATTCTAACCCTATATGTTTTTCCGTCTAGGTTTTAGAAAGATTGAATTCCTTTTAACACTAACTAGTAATCAACCCGCGCTTTGCGACGTGATATATTTGACTTGTGTATTTTTTGTTGTTGCTGTAACGCGGAGTCGGGGAGAATGCACACATGCTACTTGGGGGTCGTTTGGAGAATATGAGTTTAAATCTATAGATTTTCAACAATCTAAAGATTCTAACTCTTCGGATTGTTGAAAATAGATTTTAAAATGTTTATTGTTTGGTAACTGTGATTGTTAACATTCAATGAAAATAAAAAAAATTATTTTTATATTAAATAACGTGTTTATCTTTAATAATAATTAGAGTGGTTCGAGAAATATTAAAAACTTTGTTAGTAAATATATTTAATATGATAAATAAATAAAAGAAAAAGATAAGGTAGGAGGAAAAAAAATCTCAAGAATCAAGATATAGAATCTCTCTGATTATGAGAGATTTGATATCCATAGATTTTAGAGATTTGAAATCTCTAAAACTAAAATCCACAATACAAAAAGCAACAAAAAAACATAACTTTCTACAAAATCTACGGATTCAATGAATCCACGACCTAAATCTCGTTCTCCAAACGAGCCCGTGGAGTTAATGAAAATGAGGAACATAGTCATGATGCACATCCAAGTAATTCAAGAACTACTCAAACACACATTCTTGCAAACCATGAATCAACCGCAATTTTTTTGTTGACATATGTGACTACTCACCATAATTATAAATCAACTAAAATCACATATTTCAGTGTCAACAACATCTAAGGGGTTGTGTGCAAAATCTAATCCACCCATACACAATTATTTACTATGCATCATCGCCATTTGTGCAAAGGGAAATTCATCAATGGCAAATAATAGAAACTTATTCACATTTTTATAATCTGAAAGAGAACGTCTTCTCTTCCAAATTTGTCACTGAAAAGTGAAAACACATAGAAAAGAACTAATTTCAAAATGAATAATAGCTAAACATGTAAGGTCAAAAATGAAATGAAGAAACAAGAATGTTAATTCAAGTTCCAACGACACTCGATACATGATTCAAGTAAAACACATGGGCGGCGCTATTTGTCTCTGTGTGTGTGAACTGACAACTTCTAACTTCACATATCTTCTGCAGCTCTCTAATGTCGCTGCATACGCTTCCCCGTTCTGCTTTGCATATCTTCAATAAATCCACCACCTTCTTGCAATCTGATTCTAAGGCCAGCGGAGGTAACCTCAATTCAGCAGCTTCCTCCATTCCAAATAGAATCGGTTTCACTTCTGCAATACCCGCAACCCACCTAACTTATGCATTTTTTTATGCTGCATAAATCAACTTCCCATTCCAATCTCTGACTACATACAACCCAACCCCGTTGTTCCCCTGACATTTATACCTGCATCAGTATTGAGTACTTTGTACATTTCCTAAACAGATGTTGCACTATTCAAAACCCAAATAACGAGATCAATACAGAATTACGATTCAGCAAGAATGGATCAATTCACCACTTTATTAACTTGTTCTTTTGATTCCAAATGTAAATTCAAAATGCTATCACAAACAACACAATCTATAGAAAAGAAACTACAAATAACTATCTAAATCACAATCTTTGGATTCAGTATTGTCCTACTCTTTGTTTGTTATGAGTATGAAATCTGATAAATACGTGGCGCACAACATTGACAAAGAAAGATTCAGGTTGAGGATCAGAGTCACTCAACAGAACAGAAAATTCAAAGCAAGCAGGCTCACGTGAATCTTAGTTATTAAGCCTCTGCCTCATCTAGCGATTCTCGTCACCATAAAGATACAATTCACACCGAATGTTCTTCCTTGTATCATTTATTAACTTATAACCAACTGCTAATATTGGCCAACACAAGAGAATTCATATTCTGGAGCCTGCAAAATACACAGAAAGTCAAGAACATTATTTAAAAAGTACGGGTGAACTGGAATAAACAGAACATTAACAATAAGGAAAGAATAATGAAAGAAAAGGATTCAGACCAGGTACTATGAGAGGAAGCAGATGGCAGAGGGGGTTGCGGCAGCCCGAAGAACCTTCAAGATTTCGTTCCCACAACACCAAATTCAGCGAATTGAGATTTGCATGTCCCGATGAGAGAGAAAGAGAGAAAATGAACAATGAGTCTTTGGACAACCTAGTTATGCTCCTAACAGACCATTTTGTTAGGAGATACTGACAGGGGAGGATAGATGGCCACGTCGCCGAGCCGGATCGGACGATGGAGGAGGATTGGCGCCGACTTGTGAGAGGAAGAGAGTCGAGTCCATCGGCTGCCCCAATTCCACTATCCAAATGGCCCACAAATTCAAAAAAATCAATGTATTTTCTTAGTCTCTTTCTCTCTTCAAATCACGTCGTTAGTTTTCTTTCTCTCTCCTCAAAATCTTTTTTTTTCCTCCTCCCTTTTTCTCCCAATAATCACCAGAAACCCTCTCCGACTCTAATGAAGCAAGTGACGGCGACTGTGTGAACGACGACGACGACGGTATCGCGACAAGGAAAAAGTTGTCAGCGACGGTAGTCGTGCTTGAAGGAAGAAGACGACGGTAACTGTGCTTTTTCCTCTCTCTCTCTCTCTCTCTCTCTCATCTCTATTTCATTCTTCACCTTGCTTATTGTGATTCAATCGAGTTTCTGAAAGCGATTGTTCTATTTTCATTTAGGAGAAAAGGGAAGAAGCTTCGAAGGCGAGGGAGATATGGCATATTTGCAGATCCACACCGTCCTCATTGGAATATCACGAGGGGATTCGATTTTTAGGGTTCCATTTTTTCTTTTGATTTTGTTTCTTGGATTCTGATTTTGTGTTTCAAATAAATAAGTAGTGTTTGAAGTTAGGATTTCATGGATTCGACTAGATCTGGGTTTTCCTTTTCCTACGTTTTTTTGTATGAGTTTGATGGATTTGTTTTCTGGTAACTTAGATTTGACTAGATATGGGTTGCTTTCTTTGTGGATTATGTGGATATGTTTTCTGGGTTTGTGGATGTGACTGGATCTGGGTTGCTTTGTTTGTGGATTTTGCGGATTTGATTGGATCTGTGTTGCTTTGTTTTCTGAGTTTTGTGGATATGTTTTGTGTGTGTTTCGATATTAGTTTTGTTCGGGCATGATATCAGTTTTTAATTTCCTGGATAGTTGTTTGATATATCTGGATATTCCTACAGTGATATTGGTTTTGGTCGACCATGATATCATTTGTGAATTGTCTGGATAGTTTGATATATTTGGATATGACTTGTTTGATATTTGACTCGCTCCTACCGTCACTCTAGAAAATGACCAAGTGTAACCAGCTCCTAAAGCGTAGTATAGCGGGTATGGGTTTTAATGTCAACCCGGGTCCTAGATGTGATGACTACTCCGTGAGTTCTTATTATTTAGCAGTGAAACTTTAGTGAAGGTCCAAACAAGCAAAGCAAGTAAAAAGGTTGTTTTCAAATCGAGAGAGGTCACCCGGATATGGTTCCCCCTAGACTGCAGTTAAGTCGGATTGTAATTTACCAAGTTCAGGTTCAATGATAGTTATACTGCGGGAGATTCTTAAACAGTCTGAAGTCTCGACTAAAGGTCTCCAGACCCTCTCAATCTGAGTCTCCAGTGGGCGACTAACCTCCACCGGAGTAAACAGAATGAGGCCCTAACGAACCAAACATCCACTACCGAAGTAAATTCGGTACAGAATAGTGAATTGGCTCCTCGACTAAAGTCGTCAATTCACTACCGTCAATCAAGGGTGCTCTATCACCTAGACAGATATTCTCTTTCTAAGTTAAAGCAGAAACAACAGGAATTTGATCATGATTCATGTCATTCAACAAATCAAACCTCAATTGAACATAATCATACCACTGAATCTGTACTTGGGTTCATACAATCGGACCTAACATACAAATCTAGGGTTTTTCATACCCAGGTGAATAAGAAAGTTACTCCATAGAGAGAGATGAGAAATCTAGCTCAGATGCGAAAACCATTGTGAAGGATGAGAATCTGCTTCTGGCACTCAATCAGCTCTTCTCCAAGCTCAAGCCGCGCTCCAATGGTGATGGAGATCGATCAAGGACACTTGCAGAATCAGGTTCGTCACTTTCTCTCTCTAGGTATCGCCTTTTTCTCTCTAAAACTCGGAACCCTTCACTTTTGCCCTTCTTTTCCCTTAAGAAGCTGTCCGTCGCGATCCCCGGCCGGGTATTTTGGATAGCGACCGGGTATTATCAAAACGCACCGTCGGGGAACAGGGGAAAATCCCCGGTCAAGGCCAAGAATCCCCGACCAGGGATTTCTGCTCATTGCCCAGGCCCCCTTCTGCTTCTCAGAGACGCCCGAAGCATCAAATCCCCAGTCTGCTCCAAATAATACTCGGCCAGGTATTTCTGTTTATGGTCGGGTATTTTGCTCCTCCAGCACACTTCACCCCAAACGTGCTCCTTTCGACCCGAAACTCGTTTCTTTGCCTCGATGCCAACGCTAAGCCCTGAAATATGACATAAACGCACAACCTAGCGTGAAATCGGCTTAAAACACGAGAATCAACATCTCAAACGGCTCAAGAATAGGGGTAAAAACATGTGTAATCAATGGTCTATCAAACTCCCCCACACTTAACCGTTTGCTTGTCCCCAAGCAAACCTAACTCAAACCAATGCAATTCTCCAGACATCTATAGCAACAAACAACTCTGATCGTCGGTGGAGAATTTTCTAGATCATAAAGCAGCTTACGAGTAGGGGTGACAATCGGTTTCCCGGTTATAGGTTCAACCGGTAACCGTACCAGTAACTGGCGGTTACCGGTTAACCGAGAAAATCGGATGTCGGCAACGGGTTCACTGGTTTCGGCATACCGCTCCCCATGCCGGTATATACCGACGGTTTCTCGATAAACCGTTAACCGGCAAGGGAAGGGAGGGAAGAGGGCTAAATGGCAAACACAGCGTATATGGGCTTGGGTGTTTTGGTCTTTTGGACTTTTGGGCCTTTGGCAAACCCAGAAACGAGAGGAGAAGAGAAACCCTCGCCTTGTAATGCCACCGCCCACCAATCGCCATTCCAATTTCCAGCTCCCCACTCTCGATTCTCGATTTCCCTCGCCATCGTCGTCTCGTCGAGGCCTTCCCTCGCCGACTTCGTCTCCGGCCTCTCCTCTCCGTGACTTCGGACTTCCCTTTCCGCCCCTCCGCCTCCTCTTCCCATATCGCCGGTCGACAATCTCAACCATCAAATCTCTCCCTCCCGAACTCTCTCACTGCTTTTGTCCAGCTCTCCACCTCAATCGCCGCCTGCCCGCCGTTGACCTCACAGTCCCAACTCACGCTCCGTCATTGAATCAGCCGTAGAGAGCAGCGTTAGTCGGAAGGAGTCGACGGAAGTAGATCCAGCTCCATGCATGTTCCGGTTGCTTGCCGAATCTGCCAGATCTACCTCGTTGTCGCCAATCGACATCCCCAAACTACTCGATCTCCCTCGTCATCGTCGCCAATCGCAAGTCAAGAGTGGCTCCGGCGACTATCTCTTCTTCGTCGTCAACGATGATTAGGATTTGAGGGAGTTCCCACCCCCAGTCCCCACCATTCGTCATCAGCACATCCGGTATTCAGGTACCCGGAAAATAACGGCATCCACAGCGGGGCAAACGGCAGGGCTAGCATGCTTCTCGGTATACCGATAACCGATTAGTCGGTTACCGGTATACCGATAACCGGTTAGTCGGTTACCGGTTTAACCGATAACCGACCGATTACCAGCCCTACTTACGAGGTCAACTGGTCTTCTAAGATGTTCCCTATCTCTCTCAATGCGAGTACTAAACTCAAGCCAGGATCATGAGAAGAAATAGAAGTAAGACAGTCAATTCATGGATAAAAGGACTCACACCATTCACAACCAATGACTCGTACCGGGGCACTCTTTCACTTCATTTCACCGTTGGAACCCCTTTTCACTTTCATTTTACTTTTTTTTTTTGTCATTCACTTAGCGGGGGTTCCAACTGCAGTCTTTTGCACGGTCGACTCTTATTAGTCGAGCAAGAGACAATTTCTGTACATCTGGCGCTCGCCAAAGCACTTTTTTAACTCATTTTCCTCAACTCATTAATCCGGTGCCGCACACGTTGGGCTTACCCCATGTTTTAAGATTTCAATGATTTCGACATGGAGGACCAACTGTTTTTCATTTTCCACATGAGCACCATGTTCGATACACGAGTCTATAACACAATCCAATCAAAGACACCATTACCACATGAATTCAACGGTCTTAGCTCCACTAATTCACAAAATCAACTGGCACAACAGAGAGCTAGATAGGAAAAATCTTATACTTCAACATGCTCCATAGTGCTACACTACCTCCCTAGGTTGCACATTAATATAGAGACTGTCAATTCAAAGCATACTGAGCAGGCAATTTGCAAGGAAACACGTACTTGGAGCCCTCAAATTTAAAAATTTGAACAATGGTCTAATGCAGTCAAAAGAGAAGAGAAACATCCCCCTCCCCCCACACACACACTTAAGATCGACATTGCCCTCAATGGAGAAGAGGAAAAGATAAGGGGAACGATATTACCGGTGTGCATGGACTGCATGAGACTGGAAACAGACCAGTCGGAGTGAAGCGAACTGGAGAGGGGACCAGTCAGAGACAAAGGCGCAGCTAAAGGGAACAGAAGAACTCAAACACAATACGTTAGATCCAATGGTCAGCCCAATAGTACATCATCCAAAACAAAAGAAAACAAACCAGTTTGCAATCCGACCTAAAACAAAAGAAATGAATGCACCGAGGTGGGGTTGCCTCCCCACAAGCGCTTCTTTACCGTCTTTTAGACGGACGCTCATGGTGGATACTGTGGTCAAGCTGCCTCCTCACTGACCTTGATGCCAACTGTGATGGATCGGTCAAGTTCCGCAATGCAAGACTGCAACCAGTCTTGGGATAGCAGGAATGCACAAACCAATGTAACGAAGCTCCTCTGAATCTTGGGAAATGCACACAAGCACTTAGCTCTACCAAATGGTCCCAACGATATGCACAAGATCCATCTCAAAGATCCCCATGACCAAACAGAATATGTAATCCTCAGCTTCTGATATCATAAATCAAACAAGAAATATATTAAAAAACAAGAGCAACAACAAAGGCAAGTAGGGTAAATTAGTAGTATAAGCACAACATGTCAATTCTTTGGCCACCAAAAAGCGAGAAGGAAAGGACAGACAAAAGCAAGCATCAGAAACCTTGAACAACAAGAAAATAGTCATACCATGTTTCCTGGCTTTACATTTGTAATTAGCTCAACATGTCAATTCCTACCTTCAAATATTCTGGCCTGTACTACTTTGCGAAGCCACTAACAACGAAGCAAGTAAAAGAGAATAAAAAAAGGGTGTAGCCAAAAAGTTGCGCAAACAAAAAAGTGTAGGAATGGTATGAAGATACTAAGAACAGTCACACACTTACAGTCACATGATTTGATAGTCTTTGGCTTGCAAAAAGAGAAGGAAACCTGCAAAATACAAAACAGCCAGCGGCGAATCCTCTCAATAATGGAAAACTTATGACCAAAAAGCTTGAATAAGCATGCAAATTGTACCACTATGTTGAGAAAAATACTTAGTCAACCAACCTCTGCCAATCCATATTCCAAAGTTCAATCAGAAAGGCCATAAATTAACAACACTCTTTAGATAAAAAAAAAAACAAAAGTTTTCTTTAGCAGAAGTTCCACCTCAACCACATTAAACATGATGACTTTTTGAAAGATACTCAACATTGTAGTAATGCAATTACAGAACTGTGTGCAAGCTGATGGTCTGGTATGTTAAGTCCTCCGATGCATTTCACAAATCACAAACAAGCATTTGATTTTATCCTTAACACCACTACACATTGGCCATTGCATGGAGATATTACAACAAAGGCAATCAATACCAAGCATCAGGCAATATGCAGAACTAACATTGCAAGGATCAGGGCTTAATTCTCTCCTTCACTCTAGTTGATCCACATTCCATAACTATCAAATTCAGCTATGAATATTACTCTCAACTTCCCTGTACCGCTCTTACCTGCAGTTCATTGAGTTAAATCAATCTCAGCATGCTCATATAACTTGTTTTTCAAAAGAAATCCTACACACTAATCTGTAAAGAGAGAGGGCTTACAAATAAACAGCAATTAAACCAAGTCACCAGCACATACAAATATGATTACGCAATTTCTCACAGATATACCTTGGCTTTTGTATAAGCTCCAATTTCACCAGAAAGAGGGATTTTAGCCTACTGAGCATCCACGATAACATTTGACGTCCCGGGGAGCTCCAGATGTCAGAATCGAGGGAATTGAATATCTCCAGCTCTTGAAGCTGGATATTCACAGGTCTAGAGACCTCCGAGATCTCCTGCATAGTGCCGTTCTTAAGAAGTGCTGCATCCAACTCAATGAGGTAATCCTTAGTCTCCGTGTTCCCCTAATCAGCATACTGTGGAATTCAAACAACATACCGCGAAGAGGCCCTGCAGCTTTGCGTGTTGCATTCGAACAACAGATTGAGGAATTCGCCAACGCCGTTAGGGTTTGAGTTCTTTCTTTTGTCAAAGCTCGAGCTCTTCATCGTATCCGCCGTCACAATTCTCGGCATCATCTGCGACATTTTTAGGATTTTTGCGACAGCGGGTCTTGTTTGAACTCGTTAGGCTTCCCAGCGATGGATGTGGGGAGTTAGGGTGCGGGATTTCGACTTTCTCAGGGGAGACAAAGACTGTAATAGTTATAGGGATAGGCATACACTGGTCGAGGCAGAGTTTAGGGATAGGCAGATGTAGCCATGTAGGCTTGGATCGAACTAAAGGAAGATCGAGGATGGAGCCGGCGAGCTGCAGCTGATCGATTCTTGATTTTTGAATTTTAGGGTTTGCGTTTGCAGACGAAAAAGAGAACAGAGGGGATCGGTTTGGGGTGAAGTGAGCTGAGCTCTCTATTTTATTTTATTTTGATAATTATTTTACTGTTATTTTTTTATTTCATAACCAGACACTCAAAGTGACGTCGATTCCGACTAGAGAAAAGGATAGATTATAAACTCTTTTTTTTATTTTTAATCAAACTTTATGCGACGGAGGCTAAGAATCGACGCTATAAATATTCAGTCTTCAGCGACGAAATTTCCATCGCCGAAATTCAAAACCTTTCTGCGACGGTGTATGTCATCGCCAAAAACCTAGATTCGTCGCTAATGCTTTTCCAAACTCCCAAAAATAAAATGGTCCAGAAGTTTAGGCTATAAGCGACTGAAGACTAAAAATTCGTCACGGAATAGTAGTTTTAGCGACGAAATAAACGTCGTCGCTGATAAATTCGTCGCCAAAAGTCCTTTTTCTGTAGTGAGAGTATGCAATGTTGCAGGTACCTGCATCGTTTATGAGATGATTTGGATTACCAGACCTGCAATTGTGAAGACCCTTGATCCATTGCAAGATCCGAGAGAATTGCAGGTGAATTAGAATAAAATGATTAAAGGGATGGGAAATGACAATAGTCCGTAATAATTTGCACCCATTAAATATTTATATATTTAAGCAAAATGAATTCATAACTTAAACTTCGGGTCCATGTTTTTCATTCTAAGTATCTCAATTCTGAACTTCTATTGCTCCACTTTTAGTGCTTATAAGATATGAATCCTGTGAAGTTTAAGAAAAAAAACTCTATTATCTTCTTTGAATGGATGGTAGTAGAGAATTGAGAATTGTTCTCTCTTTTTGGTGATCTTTAGTTCTAATTTTAGTGCCTTGATTGAAATTTTGTTCATTGGCCATTTATGTTTTTAGTGTTATGAAATGGATTGCTATGACCATTTCCGAAATTTACTGATGATGATGTTATATATGAGTATGAACTACGGTTTCTTTGGTGTGTTATTTTTGCATAACTATGTCTAAAAAACTCAATTTTTAGATTGAAGGAGATATCCGAATGAAAGAGGAACGGATGATGAGAGATATGATAAGCCCAATGTGCTTCTATTGCTATTCAAGACTGTGTGGTAATGCATTGTAGGGTGTAAACAACAGAGGTGAGGACTCATAGTTTAATGTACGATTTGGTGTCATTTTCGTCTACCAGGTTGGTAATTTGGGAGTTATAGTTGTGGTTTGATTTTTTATTTCTCTGAAATTATTTATGTTCAGATTCTGTGGTAACCAGTGAAATTACAATTTGGTGTCATTTTCGTCTGCCAGGTTGGCAATGTGGGAGTTACAGTTGTGGTTTGGTTTGTTATTTCTCTGAAATTATTTATGTTCAGATTCTGTGGTAACCAGTGAAATTATTTACAGCTAAAATAACACAGTTTGTGAACTTCTTTAGTCTTTTAGTACCACTAAACAACTCTTCTAACTTCATTGAGATGGAGATTGTTCTTAGCTTCTACTTGCTTTAAGTCTTAGGATCTATCCCGAGAGGGCAAAAAATATCATATTCCTTTCTTCATTACCATTTTTTTTAATAATAAAGACAGTTGTAAGTTAGGATGAACCAATAAATAAAAATACCTATGAACTAATTATCCATAATATTGCCAACAACAAGCACCACAAATGTTACTTTCAAATCATACCGAGAATATAAATATTTTCAGATTATTTAAAATATAAATATTAATATACATAAGTAATACAAAATAAAATGTATCCGACCAACAGTCAGGTATAAGCTAGTTTATCTAGAAAGTCCACTCGTAGAGAATTTGAACAACAATCTGTCCTGGAGTAAATGGATGTTGTGACAGAATAATTATTATCTTTACCGACGAGTATAGGTTTTGCTGCAAATAGACAACAACTATTTGACGAAAGATAAATGTCGGTTGTGAAAAATTGCCTTCATTTAAATAGTAAAAAGTAACCGGCCGGCAACAAAACTAAAATGAGACCCGATCGACGACAATAACCGGTCACGGGTGACACGGCATGGCTGATTGGCCGGCAGAGACGGAATATATCACCTCATTGCAGGCTGAGGCTGGAGCATATGCTTTGTTTTTTTCCTCCAGCTTTCATCCTCGCGTGCCAATCTTGACCTGAAATCGACCGATCAGTGCACGGACTAGAGATTTTGGTTGGAAATCAAAGACATGTTAAATATTTTAGTAAACATCGATGGAATTTCAGTTAGAATAAATGAATGATTTAAAATTATTCATATTATTTAGTAGTAAAGAGTAAAAATAACAGAGTTTTGGCTATTAATAATGAAATTTCAGTTAATAATAAAGGGAAATTTTAATATTGTTTCTATAATTTTAGTAATAAACAGCGAAAACAACAAACTTTAGCAATAAACAGTAAAAACAAAGGAGTTTTAGTTCATAATTACGTAACAATGTGTTTACAGCAAAATTGGATGTAGGACAAAGAATTCCTTGTCAACAGTACTAGGGTAGGTTCTTTGGTTCGGTTATTGGAATACAGGGTGGACAAAGAGACAGACAAGCGTTCAAAGCATATGCGCAGATGCGAAATTATATAGTTAATATCCAACTAACTCCATTAATTACGTCAATCTCATGTCATATATGATTCAAAACCTAACGCACAAGAAAGAAACGACACCATACTTTTAATCTTAAGAATAATCTAAAACCATATGATACCAGTGGCTAGTTCGAGTAGACAACGCGCTTCAAGTCCTTTTAAGCTTTTAGTTATTGTTTGCTAGGTTTTCGTCTATATCTTTTTGCACTAATTATCGCCTTTGTGTTTAATTATTGTCCGCTAGGCTTTCGTCTATGGCTTTTTTCCATGGATTACGAAACCGTACCGGACATCAAACCGGAATCGTTTTTGGCATGGTAAATCGTGGTACGACCATGGTTCAACCGTTTCCTACCGGTAAATACCGTTTTTGGATTAAAAAAATTATTTTTCTGTTAAAAAACCGTACCGAAAAAATTAGGATACCATACTGGGAAAATACCGGAATAATACCGGATTATACCGCCTAATTTCCCCACTAATTTCCCCACTAACGAAGGGGATAAGCAGATCGGTTCTTCTTCTGCGACGGCGTCGGCTCCGGATGACGACGACGACGAGGAGCCGATTGAGAAGCTTCTCGAACCGTTCAGTAAGGATCAGCTCGCTAATTTGCTCCGCGATGCTGCGGAGATCCACCGCGATGCCGCGGAGATCCACCGCGATGTGGCGGATCGCATCCGGAGGATAGCCGATGAGGATCCTGTTCACCGCAAGATCTTTGTTCACGGGCTAGGCTGGGGACGCCGCTGTCGCCGGTGGTGAGAAAATGGAAGCGAGTTTGAGAGGCAGAGCGGCGCGGAGGAGACGAGAGGAGAGTGTAGAGAGAAGGAAGAGCGCAGCAGCCGAAGGTAGGGTTTAGTGTAGTCTCTGCTTCTCTTCCATTTTTTTTTAGCTTGGTCAAAAACGGTGCCGTTTGGATTAAATTAAGGGGACCGCCGGTTTTAATAAAACCGGCCGAAATTTCGGCCCATTGCGGTCCAACCGTAAAAACTGCCCGGCAGGCTCTTGGATGGTACACAGCCCCTATTGTGCCGGGCCAGGTCCGGTTTCCGGTTTTTCCGGTCCGACCGGCCGGTCCGGTACGGTATCCTGGTCCTTGCTTTTTTCACAAATCATCGCATTTGCCCACCATTTTGCAGCTCATCTCGAAATACTGTCGTCGGAATCCTAAGTTTTCCCCATCACCGTTTCCCAAGGCCGCTACCACGAGTTTTGTATCGGGACCGAGTTTTATCCTCTTTAGTGTTTTTTTTTTCCTTTTTTTCTTTTTGTTGAGTATGATCACAATTGAACCCAAACACATGGGTATTCTAACTTGAATACAAATCATCGCCTTTGTCCACCATTCTGAGCCCATCTCGAAACAATGTCGGCGGAATCCTAAGTTGTTCCCCACCAACGTTTCCCAAGGCCGCTACCACGAGTTTTGTATCAGGACCGAGTTTCATCCTCGTTAGTGTTTTTTTCTTTCTCTCTTTTCTTTTTTTTTGAGCATGATCACAATTGAACCCAATGCAGCTACCGAAAATCCATACCATATCTACTCAATGTTGGCGAGTTTAGTATCAGGATCGAGTTTCGTTCGCTTTAGTGTTTTTTCGTTCACTTTTTCCTTTTTGTTGGGGTCATGAGTTAGTTTTATCCGCTTTAGTATTTTTTTTATCCTTTTCCTTTTGGTTGAGAATGACAATTGAGTCAAAACGCATGGGTATACAACCTAATTCGACCTGACTAAAGCGATTTGAACCCGATTTTACAGGTTTTCGGTAGGAGCGAGTTTTATCTGTTTCTGTAATTGGTGTGTTGTGTCAGGTGTGAATTTGTCCAAACTTGATCCAACCAGATCAAAGCGAGTTAAACCTGGTGTTGATGTGGTTTGAGTCGATAGCAAGTGTTAGGTTGAGTGTTTTTCATTTTGCTTTTTCCTTTTGTTTGAGAAAGACAATTGAACCTAAATCCATGGGTATCCAACCTAATTAGAAAAAAGATCCAGAGAAACTGCTTCATTCTGCAAAAGTTATAGCAGGATCAACTACTACCCATACAAATTGATACATTGGCGTCATGAAAGAAGTTTAAACATACATAATCTATTTGACAACTCTTCTAACTTATGCAAGTTCATCGATCATATGCTATTGTAAATAACAAAACTATGAAAAGTATGATTAAAAATGAAATAAGTTTACTTTCACTTTTGGTCAACATTAAAACTATTACTATTTAAAATATTTATTTTTTATAGGCGTAGCGATAGCGAGTGGGCTTTTGCTAGTATATAAAAACAAGGAAAGTGGACCGTAGATGATCCTCGAGACACAAAAGACAAAACTGTCAAAAGTTTGCAGTGGGGTCGATTCGATGAGGAATTGTAACGGATCAATTTGACACAATTGTCTCATTTTGAGACAATTTTACCAAATTGCCTCGTTTGCCAGCAAAATATTTGGATGGATCAATCTGCCTGAGGTATTTTGAATTGATCCGTTTTGAGTCAATTTCAATTACCTGGGGTGGGGGTAGGTAATCCGAAGTGACTCGTTTTAATTGTCTCATTTATAAAACGAGACAATTGATCAAATTGACTCATTTCAAGATTGATCCATCCAAACGACCCCTAAATGTCGGGGAGGAAAATGGTAGGCGGAGGGAATATTCTGAAAGATAGGTTGACTGGTTGAATTGTGTGTTCTACCGCCGATAAAATTGGGCCAACAAGGCAACAGCTCTCGCTTAAAAACTGGATATTCTTTGTGGAATGTGACTTGGATTTCTTGTCTGGATGTGAATTCGGGGGTTTTATGAAAAAATTAAAGTTCAATTTTCCCGCCCACTACTATCTTCTTCCTCCCCTTTTTTAGGAGCCAATTTTCGATTAGCGATCTAATTCTCTTTGTTTTTTTTCCAAATGTGGCCCAATACTCTACCCTGTCTTGTATTGGTCGCTGATGACATCCATCAATAACTAATTAATGAACAACTTGGTTAATTACCGACACTAATTTGTATTAAAAGTACTGTTCAGTCCACACACACACAAAAAAAACATAGTGGACGGACGATGAGGAACGGAATGATCTGGACACTTCACCGACTATAATATATTTGTAATCCATCTCCGAGACCGACGCCCGTTATATAGAGATCGAGCTCTAGTTCGATGCGATACGGAGATCACCAGAAATAATCAGATATGGAGCTCCTCCTGCAAATAATTCCCGTCTTCCTCCTCTTAATTATCTCCATCATCATCATCATAATTATATTCTCACCCAAAAAATGGGCCCCGCGAGGAAGAAAAAAACCCGGACGCCAGCTGGCTCCGGCTCCCGGCTGGAGGCTCCCCGTGATCGGCCACCTCCACCACTTCATAACGAGCCGCCAGCCGCCGCACCGGCTCCTCCGCGAGCTGTCGCGGAAACACGGCGACGTGATACGGCTGGAGCTGGGAGAGATCTCGCACGTGCTGATATCGTCGGCGGAGGCCGCCATGGAGGTGATGCGGACCCACGACGTCAAGTTCGCGCAGCGGCCGCCGTACCCGCACTACGAGAAGGTGGTGTACGGAGGGATGGACCTCATCCAGGCTCCCTACGGCGACTACTGGCGCCAGCTGCGCCGCGTCGCCACGCTCGAGCTCCTCACTGCCAAGCGCGTCAGGTCCCTCCGCCGGGTCAGGGAGGCGGAGGTTAGGACCCTCGTCGCGTCCATCGCGGCTTCGGCTCCTGGGGCCACGATCGACCTGACCAGGATGCTGTTCAGCTTTACATATAGGTGACAAATGCATTGATAGATTTGATTAATTAGTTGAATATTTAACCGGATGGATTGGATTGGATCACAAATTATCAACATTACATACAGGATAATATCGATGTCGACGTTCGGGGACGTGTCGAGGGGCCAGGAGGAGTTCATAAAGGTTGCGGAGAAGTTGGTGGAGTATGCGGGAGGGTTCAAGGTCGCCTACCTGTTCCCGTCGAACGCCCTGGTGCAGATGCTGTCGGGGACGGAGGAGTTTCTGGACGGGATACAGAAGGTCATCGACGGGCTGGCGGAGAGCATGATAGGGCAGCATCAGGCCAGGAGAGCAGCGCAAGGGGGGAAGTCGAGGTCGGAGGAAGAGGATCTTCTCGATGTGCTCTTGAATCTTCAGGAAAACGGCGACACACTTGGTTTCCACTTGTCAACCGATGCTGTCAAGGGTTTCCTCCTGGTACGTACGCGCGCTCGTGTAACTAACATTCAACCGTGCGTCACGTTACGTACGTACGTTGTCTGACTCTAATGGAATTTCTGTTGTCCAATGTTGATCAAAAGATCCAAATTGGCCTACCTATATGTTTCCTTTTGTCCGCTCTCATTCTATATTAAACACATGACATGATTTGGATTCCAGGACATTTTTCTTGCCGGGAGCGAGACTCCAGCTGCACTGATAGAATGGACAATGTCCGAACTGATAAAAAACCCAGAAGTGATGTACAAGGCGCAATCCGAGGTGAGAAGAGTGTTCGGTGGGAAAGGAAGGGTCGAAGAAGCCGGAATTTGTGAGCTCGCCTATCTAAAACTGGTGATCAAAGAGACGCTGAGATTGCACACTCCTGCCCCGCTGGTGCTTCCCAGGGAGTGCAGAGAAGAGTGTCGGATCAGCGGGTACGATGTTCCCCTGAAGACGAGAATACTTGTGAACGCGTGGGCCATTGCAAGGGATCCTCGCTACTGGGGCGAAGAAGCCGAGAACTTCCTGCCTGAGAGGTTCCTGAATAATAAAGTCAGTTTCAGAGGAGGTGATTTTGAGTTCCTCCCTTTTGGAGCGGGAAGAAGAATGTGTCCTGGGATGACTTTCGGATTGGCAGCTGCGGAACTTCCTCTAGCAAGTCTGTTGTTCCATTTTGATTGGGAACTGCCCCGTGGAGTTGAGCCCACAAGCTTCAATATGGATGAAAAGTTTGGCGTCACACTGAGGAGGGAAAACCATTTGGAACTAATTCCTGTTGTCCGCTATAACCCTCTTCCTTCCATTTAATTACTACCTTGCCACCGGATTGAGACCGGCGACTGGACCATGGTGCAGTCCTTTATTAAATGTTTTTCAAGTCTATAATTATCTTCAACAAATTGCTTCATCCATTATATAACAACTTGTTTTGTATACTCGTGTTTATAAATATGAGTTGTTATGTATTCTCATTAATGTATCACATTCACATGACATGAGTGTCCATCGGTTTACTTGTGAAGTTTATCATAAATACTTTATGTATTTATATTTTGGGTATGACACTATGTCTTAAACTCTTATGGATAAACACCATCTCTCATTTCTCGAAACCTAAACGTGAAGATCGATTTAATTGTATAATAATAATCGACGGTGTTGATTTGTTCAAAATGATAATATACTATCCTTTTTGTAGAGTATAAAATGATAATTACTGTGATATATTTTAGAATAAAAAACATCATTTGTGATGTCATATACAAATACCATGGTGGTATGGAAAATAAATCATGGTGGCGGTATACATTATTAGGAAAAAATTTAACCAAAATATGCCAAATGGATAACATTTTGTAAATTATAGTTAATTTATTTTTATGTACAATTTGTTTTTAAAGTTTATTCAAACTGAAACCAAAATCGTTAAGAGTCTTATCGGTTTTTTATTAACTGAAAACTCATAAGGCCTTTACCCGCGGGTTTGATTTAGGTTGATTGGTTTCATGCTTAATGGTTTGGTCAACGAAACCAAACAAAGCCTATTTTTGGCCCGGCTTTTAGAAGTGCTTTACGGCTTCAAAAGTTGAAGCAGGGCCAAACACCTTTAAAAGCTCGGCTTTTGAAAAGCCGAAAAACGCTTTTGTATAACATAAAAGCAGAAGCTCCGATTTGGAGGTTCTGCGAAAAGCTGGTTTGAAAATACAAGATTATCCTTACCATATTTTAATTTTATTTCAGAAAATATAATTTCCCTTCATTTATATCATTTTAAAAAATAAATTAAATTATAAAATCATATTATTTAATATAAAAGAAATCTAACAAGATTCATTTTGACTACTTTTTATTGTTTAGAATTTTTATTTTTATTTTATATTATAAGTCCTTTATAGTCATTTTACACAACCGCTCACATTAAAAATCACTTCTAATAGTTTTACAGCCAAACACTCAACTGCTTTTTTTGAAAAATACTTATCTAAAAGCTCCAGCCAGAAGCGGCTTCTGCAAAAGCTACAGCACGGCCAAACTAAGCTAAAATTGACAGCCCGCAGGTTCCATACATCCACTCAATGAAAAGTTGTTAGAAAAACCACACACAAAAAAATTCTAATTAGCCACAAGTACTGGAAGAAACGGTCCCATGCATCCGCGCTATCTTGCTCGTGCATGGTCCAGGATTACAGGGATGCACATATGAATCTCATCTCATCTACGTACAAAATGTACGCAGAAATTATGCATCTGAAACATTTAACTCATGTCATATATATAGCTTGGACTAATTTGCAGCTAGCTAGCAAGCTAGGTTTGATCATGGGCTTTTCTTCACTGCTGCTGCTGCTTCTGTTCGTATCTTCATCTCATCAATGAGGCATTTTCCCTCGAGTGTAGAACTCATAACAAGCTTGATGTAATCCGTGGTAGACACGGTTTTATATTTCGGTGCTTGCTTCTGTTCCCCCCTATTGATGAGGTCGGGCAATGGGCCGATCATGGCATTGGAGGTTGTGTTGTGGAATGCTGCAATCGACAGCCTCTCCTTTTCGGGGTTCACAACCACCCTGTGCTCTACGCTCTTGTATTCTCCATTACTCATTATCTGTCACGGCCGGGGGACACACGTACGACATTATCTATCTATCTATGCAAGTTCTTTTGTTCAAAGTTCAAACTGACCTTAATTAATTAGAGTGCCAATCCTACTCAAATTACCCACGTACGTACCTCAATGATGTCGCCGACATTGACTACGAAGGCACCTGGTATGGGAGCAATGGGGACCCATTTCCCATCTCTCTTGATTTGTAATCCTTGAACTTCATTCACTTGAGTCAACAATGTCAATCCATCGACGTCGGAATGTGGGCGGAGACCAATGACCTTGCTCGCTTGCTTGCATGATGGAATGTAGTTCATTCTTATACCTTGGGGACCTTCTCTGAACGACGAGATCAACTTTTCTGGATCGAGTCCTAGGTTCCTGGCCACAAAACCTAGTAGGATGATTGACAACTTTCCAACTTCTGATGAATACTCGTCCAGAGTTGTCCTGTCAAGAAGGCAAGCACTTGATTAGTTACAAGTGGGCGGCAATTGGGTAAGGTCCGATTCATTCTAGACCCAATTAATTAAATATGGTTGGGTCATTACATGATGTGAGTTTATACATGAAATGAATCGGTATAGAGAAATGTGATCAATTTGAATAATGGGTGAGATATGCAAGCATGCATGTTTAGTTCGAATCGTTACTCGCAAATTATATATGTATAATAAAGGCTAGCGTACGCCCGGGGGCGTATGATTAATTTACTGTATGTTTGTCGCGTTTGGCTATTTAGATATTGAATTAGCAGGAGGTTGAGGCATGATACTTTACCTTAATCCTTAATGGGTGAACCCCAGTCCTCAATTCACTAACTCAAAGCATATTTTATTTAATCATTAAATAAAAATCAACAATTCTGATTCGTCGGAATTATATTTGATTTTCATTTTAAAATTAAATGAATCTCAAGGTTTGCATTAGAAAATTAGGGACTGGAGTTCACCCATTACATGTTAGGGTATAGTATCATGCATCAAACTCCGGTTAATTCATGATCTAAATAACAAAATTCAATGAGCGTACGCTAGCATGAACTATATATATGGTGGCTACTTCAGTGCACCCAACTCTAAAAGCAATCTTAAGAAATCAAATTTTGAAATTAATTGGTAGCATTAGTATGATATGATAATATAACATATGATCATAACTAATCAATTCATTACCCTAATCCCTAAACCTGCAATTTTGAATCCAAGCTCAAAATCCCAAATTACAAACCCTAATCCTAATCCTAAATCCTTACACCCTTAATCCTTTAAATTAAAGTAAATCTTGAATGATTTTTTTGCAAATTAATGTGTTTCTTGTTCATCATATCACAACTGACGATGAATACCGTTTTGGCATGAATCGCATGTTTGGAAGGACAATTATGAGACGAGTGTATTTAATGCACCCTGAAAAGTGAGTGCAATGAAGACATAACCCCATATATATGAAATATGATTCGGTTAAACTAATGATTCAAATTTTTTTAATTATTGTTAGAATTAACAATTTATGAACACCAAATTCCATTCGGTGTACTAACGGTCAAAACCGTCCATCGAAATTAGGGGCCACTTAGGAGTGGCAATTCGATCTCCGGTTCGCGGCGAACCGCCCGTTTTAACCGAAAACCATCGGTTAATAGCTAACCGAAAACCGACGGTTATTAAGGTCGGTTAGTAGTCGGAGAGTCAGAGGGAGTTTTCGGCTAGCCGACTAACCGACGGTTATTAACCACGGTTAACCGGCTATCCGAAATTAACCGGTCTCCGCTCCGCCGCCTAATCCACCACCCCACCACTTAGGAGTGGCAATTCAGTCTCCGGTTAGCGGCTAACCGCCCGTTTTAACTGAAAATCGTCGGTTAATAGCTAACCGAAAACCGATGGTTATTAAGGTCGGTCAGTGGTCGGAGAGTTAGAGGGAGTTTTCGGCTAGCCGACTAACCGACGGTGATTAACCGCGGTTAACCGACTATCCGAAATTAACCGGTCTCCGCTCTGCCGCCTAATCCACCACCCCACCACACAGAAACCTCCGGCTTTCCTCGCTGCCCAACGTCGCCGCCACCGCGTCCGGCCGCCGCCTCCGCTCCCCGATTCCCACTGCTCGATCGCGCCGGCCACCATCCCCGCCGCCAGCGAATCAATCGAGGTCATGAGAGAAGGAGAGATGCAGATTGGTGAGAGGAGGGGAAGAAGAAAAGTTGGGAAGATTTTTTGGGAAAGAGAAGAAGGCTGAAGGGGAATTGATTTTGGGAGAGATTTTAGGAAGAAAGAAGAACGAGAGAAGAAAGGCTGAAGGGGAATTAATTTTGGGAGAGATTTTTGAGAGAGAAGAAGGGGAACAAAATTGATTTTTGGGAGAGAGAAGGGGAATTGATTGGGAGAGATTTTTGGGAGAGAAGAAGGGGAACGAAATTGATTGGGGGGAGAGAGAAGGGGAGTGATCTGATGGGTTGGTGGAGGAAGGAGAGATAAGGATTGACAGAATTGAGTGGTGGAGATTTTTTTAATTAATTTTTAGTTTTTCTTTTTTTAGAAAAGGAAGGTTTTTTCGGTTGGCCGGCTAACCGATCCTAAAACCGAAACCGACTGGTCGGTTGGCCGGCTAACCGTGACCTCCCTCACGGTCGGTGGTCGGCAACGTTAGGGGATGACTTGGTTTAATCGATAACTGAGTTTTTGGTTTTCGGTTAAACCGAAACCGACCTACTGCCACCCCTAGGGCCACTTGCGTATTTCTCGTAGTTGCCATCGATCTTACTTGTTGTCGATCGAACATTATTTTGTCTAGTTTCAATCTTAGGGTCAAAATCAAAACGTGAAATGAAGATATCTTAACCTGAACAAAATGTGGTGTCTACACTACTAATTATTAATAGTTTACTCCCGAGAAGAGTGTAATAAAATGGTAATTAATTAAGGGGTCGTTTGCTTCAAGGATTTGGTACATGGATTTGGTACCAAAAAACCAACTATCAAGGATTTAGGTACAATCCGTTGTTTGCTTGCATCTTTTTTGGAGACAAAATCCGTGGGGCCCACGGATTTTAAGGGTCCAAATCCGTGGACCCCACGGACTTATAAATCCCACATGTTGATGTAGGATTTGGAATATGGCATAAATCCTTGATGGCATTTTACCCATATACCCTCATGCACTTTTAATATTCCAAGGTTGCCCTCAAATTTAACTATTATACATTATAATTAACAATAAATGAATAATATAAACGTTCAATTAATGTGCAAACATGAGTTAGATTTTTTATATAATTTCTTGTGTTCTAGTTTTCTTTGACCTTTTCATGGAACGTGTAATTCTTTGTTCTCCCGATTCTAATATATGTTGTTATATGTTACTTTTGAAAAGGAGGACAAAGAATTGGTAATTGATTATGTTACGTTAAAAGTTAAAACGAAATTTTCTCGTTTATTATTATTGTCCATGTGGCAACATTATGTTTATTAGTATGTATTGTCCTTGTTTTGTGTACATATCATAAACATGTCAAACATATAGAAAAGGGCAGTAATGTAATTTTTGACTTCAAGTAGTAAATCCCACACTTTTAAATCCATGATAAAACATCCCAACAAACAAAGGATTGTTACAAATCCATGATGCCTCAAATCCTTGATAAATCCTTGGGTTTTTAAATTACAAAACCCTCGTTTATAAATCCATGAAGCAAACGACCCCTAAACTATCTTAATTTCTCTTTAGTATGCGGTTCCACCAAGTGTAAGTGTTATGTTGCTCCAAGCTTCCACGTAACTGAAATCATCAGGTATTGGATAATTAAATTACAATGATTTGGTCTAGTAGTAATATCAGTAGTTTTAAATTTGTAGGTCCAAGATTCGAATCCCCTTAAACATTATCTAACCACAGAAACAAATAAACATATATCATCTTTAGAAGAAGAAGAAAAAACTACATCTACTTGATCTCAGTAGAGAGATATGAGTTGAGGGAACAAACCTGAAAGAAGAGGGAACGGTTGGCCAAACCCTCATGTTTCTTCTCTCCATAGGTTGTGCAAGAATATAAAGCATGTCGCTCCAATCAAGTTTTTGCTCTTCAGACAGAACAAATGCTTGGCCATATCCTTCAAGGTCATTTGGCAGCTGTGCACATTTCATTTTCTCTTGCAATGTTTGTTTGAAGAACTGTTGGACATCAGCTTTCATATTCAGGATCACCTCCTCAACAATTCCATGATTTATCACCTGTGCACAACAGCTTGGTATTAGTCACGATCGAGCTTAGCTTAGGGGTGGTTCGAATCTCCGAATTGTGAAAATGACATGATTCATGGAATCTAAAGTGAATCTATATATATTATATAGGTTGTGGAACCTGACACAATTTTCTTGCTCAAGAAACTTATTGAAACCCGGCCAGATCGAAACATGCATATGATAATTTGCACGGGAGAAGTGAAACTACTAGCTAGGTAGGAATCATTTAGTTACGTTGTTGCATACCTGGAAGAATCCCCAGTCTCTGCATGCAGAATGAAGCTTAGCTAACTCGCCATCAACATCACAGCCACCACCAACGAGCTTTCCTATATCGATTACTGGGAGATAGGCAGAGTAGTCGTCATTAGAAACTCGTTCAAGATCGAGTTCGGGGTGTATGTACCTGATGGGTACGATATCATTCGAGCTCAAAGCGAGTTGTTGAACATTGGGAACAGCCAGAGACCCTCCAAACTTCCGTTCGGATCCCACCATTTCTAAGCGAATTGAAACTCTTCTTCTTACTGATCGATCTTTTCCAGGTAGAGTTTAGATAGCTAGAAGCCTTATGTAGTAATGTACATTGTACGTACATATAAATTAAACACAAGGGCTGGCCGGCTGCAGTCTCCTCTCTTGATGGCAAGATTAGGTAACCCACGATGCCTTCATTATTAGTTAAGTAAAAGAATGACCATTGGTCTTGGTCTGCAACGAGACGACTTGATTCTTTCTTTCTTTCTTTGGGAAAGGAAAACTAAATACTAGTTATTATTATTATAGAGTAGGCAGTCTGTCACTATTTCCAGCCCTCCTCCAAGTGTCTTGTTGTTCTTGTTCCAAGCTCTACTCCTTTGTTTTTTTCCCCTTCGATTCTTTTCAACAGAAGGACAAGGACAGAAACAGAAGAATTTCAACAAATGGGTTGAAAATGAACGTCAGACAAACAAGACACTCAAGGAAAGGAACCCACTTGTTTCCCATTACTTGCCGGTATTTGTAGAACTACTAACATTTCAATCCAACTACTAACATTTCGTCAAAAATAATCTCAAGAGAGGATGAACATGTGTAGTTAGTTATTTTCTGCTTGTTTCTCGTAACAAATAGACAAAACTAGCGTGAGCCTCGGTTATTTGGCCGGAGGAAGGTGAGCTATGAAATTTGATAATGTAATGGGGTGTATAGCTTATTGTTGTATAGTTTTTTTGGGAAACACGTGATAAAAATAGTAAATTTTAGTAGGAAAGAGACATGAATGATACAACGAATCAAAAATCAGTCTTATGAACCAAAATCAAGTACATGTTACCTTGTGAAACAATATTGTTTCTGGTAATATGATGAGGTGGAGTAAGTTTTATAGAAACTGAATTCCAGAAAATCGAATAAAAAATCATCTATCCCGCCGGTTTTCGAGAAATGAGCATCTCACAATCGTTGCTAGCTTTTACTCGGCCCGATGGCCGATTAATTTGCTTTATAAAACTTGCATCTTGTCATCATTGTGCTTTCTGGTTTTTTGCCAAGCCATGATAAAATCTAAAGAAATCAAGAATGAACAACAGGATTTGGGATAGGAACCACTGTTCCTGTATCCCTAGAAAAGGGTGGTAAACACGGACTCACCTGCCAAACTGGTTTGGATTGAGATTTTTATCGGGTATCAAGGAACCATGTGATTATAAATTAGACTTGATCAAAACGGGCCAAAACTTGAAATTCAGCATGTTTGACCGACCCATGCCAAACTGTAATTATTCTTTACTTTTAAACTTTCTATTTGAAAATAAAAAATAATGAAAGAAAAGAGATGACTGCAATTCGCCATTTGCACATCACTGATTCGGGAATAAAACTATAGAATTTCGAAAGGAAATTGAAAATGTTTAGGATCGTTTTCATGTTAAAAATAACCAAATAGATCTTTCTGTTTAGTTTTTACTAACAAATACTAAACGGTTCCCTATAATATACACTATAATTTAATCATTATGATATCAAATAATTACATAATATATATTTGAAATGATAACAATGGACTAATTGGGTTGGTCGAGGTTGAACTATTGAATAACTTTAAAATACATTATATTTTAGCTAGTAAGATATAAAATAATAGCATAATATATATATATATATGGCAAAGGCTAGCGTACACCTGACGTACGCTGTACGCCTGTGTTCACACTAAAAAATTAATATTAAATAATTTTAATTTAATTATGAATATTTAATTAATGTATAATAATTAGAATTACAATCACATCCATTAAATAATTTTTGTGTAAGTTTTAGTCCCCAATCAATTTTTACCGTCCATTATGTTCAAATCAAGCATATAACTTTTTCATATATAAACTCTAGTTCCTGATTTTTCCAAATCACAATTCCAAAGTCCTAAAGTTTGTGTTTAGAATTGGAAATTCCATCAACTCATTTCAGGTATCTTCTTCTCTGCTTTCTCCGTCAATGGGTAGCAGCGGTCAGCAGTCTCCGCCACCGTACAAATCATTCCGACTCCTCAAAACTGCGAGACACCACGAACACGCCGTCTCCTGCTTCAAATTCTGCAACAATGGCGATCTCCTCGGTTCCGCCTCGAGAAACCCTAATCCTCTGGTCCACCTCCAACTTCTCCCTCTAAACGCGCCTCGTCAACCAATAAAACTTGCGGTGAAGCAATACTGTGTGAATGGGAGGCGAGGCTAGCTTCTATTTTTGTCTCTCTCTAATTGTGGTGGTGGACGGAGGTGGGCTTTGCGGCAGCGACGGATGGGTACGATACAGGGATGCTGATTGGGGGTGAGTACCTGTTAGAGGGGATGATGATTTGGAGCTCCACCATTGGTAAGTCCAATCTGGTGTCCAGATTCAGGAGGAAGGGCTGCCTGGTCGAGTTCAATCCCAACATTGGAGTGACGTTTGCTTATAGGGATGTCCGGTGAAATAAGTTTCATTTATGTTCATTACTCTGCTTTTGGTGGTTCGATTTCGTAATATTAGGTAGGGGCCTCTATTTTTTTATTTCCAATTACTGTGCTGGATGATTTTATAATTCCGTTTTTTATTTATGTTATTATGGACAACTCTGTTAGTTGTTCCGAGAAACAGAGCATGGAAACTCGCCACGTTGTGTGCAAATCTCTGGCATTAATGTATGAGATTGTTGGCTCTTACCGCGAGCATCTTGGAAAGAGAATTCCTGTGCAATCGTGGCGCAGCTGTGAACTCTGTTGCTGAAGAGGCGGGCGGCGTGGATTTGGGTCTTGTCAGAAGGAGTGAAAATGAGGAGTTGCTTGGAATTGAAGTTGAACTATCTCATGTTTTGGACTATTGAGTCTCGAATGAACGATAACAGAGAAAATTGCTCGATCTCGACACTGCAAGGTTCTTGAACCTAAAATTGCTCTTTTGTTCTCCAGAGACAACTGCTTCCTTGAATTTAGCTCTCTTGGTTGGGGAGATGAAAATTTGCGCTCCTAAGACGATAATGCTGCATGGGTTGGATATTTGGAATTAGGGAGATGAGATTGAGAATGGTGGGGAGAAAGTTGGGAGATCAAATTCTGGTCAGGAAGGGACAAAAGGAATAACGATTCTAAACCCAAGTTTCGGGTGACTAGATTTTCAGTTTTCATACATGAACACGAAAAAGTGAAGCAAAACCGGTAATGTTGTTTTATGATAATTAATCAATGGAAGTTTGATTTGAAGAAATTAAAGCAAATCAGACGAAACGTTAAAGTAACACTCACCACACTGGCTCTTTTAATTTAAACAAACAATTTAGGTGGTCTTAATCATTGTTGGGAGATAGAAGGTACTGGAATTGTTATGATGAATTTTTAAATGATTGATTAAGCATAACGAATGGTAAACTATTTTTTGGGATCACAACATAGAGAAAATAAATTAATGGATGTGATTGTAATTTATATTTTTATTAATAATTACTTTTATAATAATTATTAATTAATTTTCTGGTGTGAACATAGGC